ATATATATACACCTATATATGCACATGCACGTATACATCAATATAGTTGTTTACCCCTTTTGCCTTTGTAGCTGACATTCAGCCCCAAAGCGTCGTAGCCGGGGCTGCGATGTTGAAGCATTACTTTGAGAACTCGTTGTGGGTGCGACGGTGTTTTTTCATGGTTTCCACACCTCAGCCACGCCCGGACACGGGAGACAAGGGGCGCTTTCCATGGGTAACCCTCTGGGGCACAAAGAAAAAACCGGGCCACCAAGCAACGGTGAAGCGACATCCCATGTGAACCGTGTATGACGACAAGCGTTGGGCTCCTATTTCACGTGCCCAAAGAGCAACTTGAAAGAAGGACATAGCATGTAACACATCGGCAAAACTGCAAAACCCCATGTTCAACCCTTCGTCTCAAGAAATCATAAAACACAAAATGACACACTTCTTGTCGCAAGAAGAATCTCAACTGCACGATTCAAGCGTGCTTCAACACACGAACAGCACCCTCCAAACAGGCCATTAGTGGCTGTGTGACTGTGACTGCAACTGTATGAATCTGCGACTGTTATTCTGGGTGACAATATGCAGGTGCGATCATGTAAACGTGTGACTTGTCCCGGCATGCCTTTATGTCTCTTTATGTTTACGTGATAACTATTTGCTCAAATGCGTGCCTCTGCATTGTGCTTGTATGGTGCTTTGTGTTTATGACCTGATGTGTTTTGATTCAGTTTGCGTGCCGTGTTGATGAAAGTGCACACGCGCTGAGAGCCCCCTGAAGCTTTGTAGCTAGAATTCTTCCCCCCCCCCCTAGCCCAGCCCGCAACTCTGCCTGCGCGGGCAGAATATGAAAGACTAAGATCGTGTGCCGATGACCAATCGTTGAGCTTGGGCAACTGAGAACAAACAACACAATTTGATGTTGCTTTCTTTGCAAAAGGCCAGGTCCCCAAAAATACCCCTCCAACAAGAAACGCCAAGCTGTACTACCTGGTTGACGTTGGAAGGGGAGCAACAAATTGAATTTTAGCAGTTAAGTGGGGATTTCCCACTAAGCCACAATAAGCAAAAGCCGTAAAACGTTTCCCAACAACAACCATGACTAGCTGCCTACCCAGATCAACAGCGGCAGCGTGGTTCAAAGTTTCAAAGGCTGCACCGAGATCGAGGCGGCCCGGGCACGGAGAGACGCGAAGGCCTGAGCCCCGAGCGACGCGTCTCTTTTCCGCTCCCCTCCCCTCGCCCGGAAACTCAGGGCTCCTATACTCAGCTCAGCTCCTCCCCTGGAAACCTCGCCCCCGCCGAAGAGAACACTCAGCTTCCATGGGCCAAAACTCAGCTTCCATGGGCCCAAAAGGCGATGTTTAAAACCGCCACAAAGGGAAATATAGGGACCCCGACTTGAAAATCCGGGTTTCGGTTGGAGAGAAGCTAGGGCATAGGTGTGCTTTGAGGGGAAATAGATGGATATCCCTGGTAGATGATTAAACCACCAGCTAGACCAGGGCCATCTATTTTGGAACAAAACAACCAAAAAGGACACCTATAAGCCAGGCGGTACCCCTACATTTTGACACGGACATGTGACCAACAGTGCTTGTGCATCAGAAAATTCGAGCATCGGCCTAAAGAAATCACTCGTCCCATGATCTTTGTTCAGCCTACTGTACAAGTTGCCAGCTTCCGTCAACTGGAACTGATCAGCTTCCCTCGAGCTTTGGATCGGCGGTGATTGCGGGGCGGCTTTCCAAATCCCACCAATCCAAAACAACCCGACGGGTTACCTGAACCAATCCCCAAAAAACAAAACCTCCGAGGTTGCGGGTTGAGACTTGGTGCCACACCTGGTTGCTTCAAAGTTCGTGCCTCCCACCCGAAGAAAAGTGCGTTTGAGGCAAAGCACACGTAAACTTAAGGCCAAAATGCAACAAATCAGCCTTCACAAACAAGGTTATCATTGCTTGGTGACCTCTTTGCTGAAATTCAACCTGGTCAAATTCCCAATATCCAACAACTGGCAATAAGGAATCCAAGACAGAGATCTTCAATGGCTCCAAAACTGAATCGGTGAGCACGACAAAGTTGGCCCAAATGACATCGCCAAGGGGAGAACTTGACGGATCAGGATACTGGGCTTTGTGTAAGCATTCAAAAGATAGGCAACATTTCAGGCTTGGGGGGGAAGGTTACCCTCGGGAAAGAAAACAAAAAACTTGCATCAACCACATGGCTTGAAGTCTAACTTGAGGGAACTCTGGTCCGGCAATTTTCAAACAATCTCTTCTTGAATCCCCTTCTGACAGTCTGAGGGGCAGGCCAAGAACAGTGAAGCTACCCTGTCATGTAGGGGGGCTATAAGGGGGGCTATCCCTGGATAAGCCTAGGATAAGAAAAAAGTGATAAGCCCTTGACGTCACAAGGCCTTAAAATGGTTAATCAGTTCTTACCCCTTAAAACTCCAAGCCCTGGAAAAGTTAATGTTTTACAGACATATAGCCCATGTTACCCCCAAAAAGTTGAAAAAATGTGTTTTTTAAGAGGTAAGAGTTCCTCAGAGAGTTATGCCCCTCCCCAGTTTGTGCCCCTCGGTCCATGACCCCGCGGTTTCCAAGCGCAAAGCTGCCGTCCCGCCTCCGCCTGCGAGTCCTCGCCTGACATCCAACCAAACTCCTCCGATGAAAATATCAGCGTGATATGTGTCACTTAAGCCTGGGCTTATTGACATTCTCCCTGCTTCATTCAGGTTATGCAGCTTTTGATGCTTGACACGTCGAGTGGTACTGTGCATGGACAAAAGCCTGCACCACATTGAAACCATGGTGCCTAAGAGGGGGATGCTTCAGTAGATCTTGGTACTCTCCAGGCGCAACGCCTTCTGGCTTGAGTGGTTTGATCAAAAGCTCACAGACTCCGCACCCAGCAAGTCACACTTCCAGAGGTGAAAATCAGCGGCCAGTTTGACCATAGCTTTGGCGTTCCGCTTCCAGGCGCGGCCTTTTTTGTCTTTCATGTGCCACTGACTGAGCTTCGTGCACTCAAGATTCTAAGAGCAGCAAGAGCCATGCGCAAAGGGGTCCTGGGCCCCTCGATCAGTCAGGTTGCATTGGTATGACTTACTTGGAGTTCCATTCACCATAACCTCAAAACCGTACTGTGTTCGCACCACTTTGAAACCTCGCTGGAAACCACGGTTTGTTGGCATTCCTAGTGCCACAAGCCATAGGAATCGAATGTGGGTCAAAAAGGGGTAATGGAACCCTGGTATACACATGGAACCAAGGACTAAGACCTGCGGTCCAAAACTCCTGGTGGTTAAACTTTGACCCATACCCGACTCTTTCCCTTGGGTTCCGGCGTCCAATTCCTGGGCCCGAACCGCCCCGAGCCAGCAGCGAGCGACAGCCCGAGGCCGCGGGCCGAAGAGCTGCTGAAGGCCCCGGGAGAAGCCACGCCTGGATAGGCCGCAGCCCCGGCAGCCCCGGCGAATTTTGCCGAGAGTGACCCGTTCCAACGGCCCACAGTCTGCCAAAGGCAGCCTCAAACTGGGAGACTGTGGAGCCCTCCGCAAGAAGTTTGCTGTTTTTGTGGGTTGAGTGGAAAGCCTCTGGGTTTCGGGAAAAAAAGAGGTTAGGTTTAAGCTTTTGTGGGTTTAGTGGAAAATTGTGGATTTCCCAAAAAGGTTAAAGTCTAAAGATCCAACCCAGCTTCGCCCAATTCACCTCGTATTAAACGGTGGATGTAAGGGGTTCCTCCGACAGTAACTGCTTGTGGTTTCCACCATGTGACTCCTATGTTTCTTGCAAAGTCACACCTCACGCATAATTGGCTCTATTGACGTGACATCCTCATACCTCCTGAATGGTGGTTCAAAGGGCAACCACCCCCACAGTACTTTTGAGACCCCGTACCCATTCTTTCCAAAAATCATTTCTAGAAAACCACCAAAAACCCTGGGGAAATGGCTGGTTCTTGAAAAGAGCGATGGCTGAAAAGAATGGAAAAGGAACCAACCCCTAGAAGCTTGAGGCACCCGCTACACCACCCCAGGCATGAAGATCTCCTTGGCACACGCTGCACGGAGTCGCGCGGTTTCTTTTTTGCCGCGCATTTTCGAGAGGCGGGACGAAGCGTGATGCAGACAGGCCCAAACCAACTGTCCCAAAAGGGGATCCTCTGAATCAGCTTTGTGTTTGGTTGTTTCCTGACTGGACAAAATGTAGTCTTCAAAAGGAGCCCATAAAGGAGCCACAAAAGAAAGCTTCGCGCAAACAGCCTAAATTGTCGAACGCAATTGCGGGGGTACTTCAAAACCAAAGTTCGCCATGATCATGGGATGGCAATGGATCTAGTCTGTTGCCCCCTTAACACCGAATTTGGCCAATGGCCCTGAGACCACAACAAAAGCATGTTTTCCTGGCTACTGCTACAGGGACGCATATCCCAGGTGCAACGGGTATCACAAACCACCCTAGCGAATCTGCCTGCTTCTACCGCCCCTGCCAGAGTCGCATGCCAGCCACCAACTGTTTCGCTGAGGCCAAGCCCGCGCATTGGCGGGCAATATGCCAGCCCTTGTGGCCGGTGCAAAGTACAAGGGCAACACTCCGACCCCTTCAAACCCCTTGACTGCCTGGTCTCCAACCCACCTTATGGGAACATACTCTTGTTGAGGTTGGAAAAGCAATTGCAGAAAAGAAAAACCAAAGGACCCCCAAGAGCAATGGTCCACTGCCATTGGCTTAAGCCCCCTGAAAAAATAAATAAATCCAGCAGTGAAATAGATTCCCTTTAAGACCAGGGGAAAATAACAAACACATTCCTTCCGGCAAATCCCCCCTCCCACTTTTGGGCTAGAGCAATGATGCATCCTGAAGGCTCGATGTGCACTCTGAACAAAACAAAACAATACAAAACATATATGTTGTGAAATCGATTCCCTTTAACCAACAGGGGAAATAAAGAACATATTCCTTGCGGCAAATGGCTGAGGTCCGGTTTGCGCTCCCCTGCTATCTCCTCAGGTCTCGATAGTACCCAGGAGGCGTCAGGCTAGACTGACTCAGCAGCACCGGGGCATGGGAGGGCAGCGACCGGCCCACCTTGTCCTGAGGCCAAAAACCACCCAGGGACCCAACGAGCTACCCTCCCACTTACCCCTTAAAACTCCAAGCCCTGGGGAAGTTAATCTTTGACAGACCTATAGCCCATGTTGCCCAACAAGTTGAAAAGTTGTGTGTTTAAGAGGTAAGCCCACCAACTAACATGGGATTGCAAAAAGGCCAATTCACCCAGAGGAAAGTCGTCCTTCTACGGGGGTCCGAAGACACAAACCCATGGAATCGCTGGTGGGAGGGCCCTTTTTTTTGACGTGGCGCCACGGCACCTGACAGGTAGTGGGAGGAAGGGTAGGCCTTTTGAACCGCAAAGTGGGGGGGGCTACGGCGATTCTGCTCGTGGCCGCAAAAAGGGGCGCTTTTCAAACTTGACGTTTTGGGGGCCATGTTTTAAGAACTGGGTGCTAAATAATTGCACCATGGAACACTGGCTTCTGCAAAATGAGCTCCAATAACAAGGGAGGTGAGCTCGCCATGTTTCCAAAAATGAGTGACAAGGTGACAATCCAGCGATTCATGCGCCGGTAATCATGTAATCGAACGAGTCTTCAGCTCAACCATCCCTCAGCTTGGGTTGCCCAAGTTTTCGCCCATCGCATGCATGCAAAAGTTACTCAACAGTTGCCTTGTGCTCCGGGAAATGTGGACACGGAACAAGTGATGCAATGTTCGAGGGTGCTTTGCATAAGGAATCTGTCAGGAAAAGGGGGTTGGCTAGCTTCTCACTCCCTGAGTTCCTCGACTTGTCGCTTCTTGGGGATCTGTGGCAAACAGCTTAAGTGTGAACTTTACAATGGGCGGAGAAGGAGCCCTTTTCGTCGTGCTTGTTTCCCCGGCGGTGCGTGTACATGTTACAGGGATGAGCCGCATGTTAAAGTGTCTCACGCATGGAAAGGGGATGAAAGCTGACTTCTGGAACGGTCAGCTGGTACAAAAATCCCATTGTAACCAACAACGTGGCACCTTCTTCTTGGAACCAGGTAAAATGGTTCCACACGGTGGCTACTCACTTGCCCAAAGCGCCTCGAAATACAAAGGCTCACCTTTTGGACTGATGACTAAAAACTGCACAAACCAAACCAGCGATAATAACTTTAACATTAATTTCAATGGCAGTTTTCCCTCCCCCTCCCTCCCCTCACTCCCGCAGCTCCCATCCTGGCGGAAGCCTCTGGATCGGGTCTCGCGGCTCTCGCTGCCGCAGCCGCTGCCGGAGGAGGCCGAGACGCTCATGGTGCAGTTCTCCTCCTCGGTTTCGGGGTCGTGCTCTTGGGTTCGGTTTCTGGGGGGGTTCATCAGTCAGCAAATGCGGTTGGGTCCCTTAAACCCACCACTGGAACGGGGGTGACTTTGACCATGGAAAAATTCACGAGGCCAGTGGGTTTCGGCGAGGGCCCCGCCTCCTCGGAGGGGGGTTGGACTTTGGAGTTTGGGTGGGGGTTGGGGTTGGGGCGGTGGGGGGTTGGGGGTTTGGAGTTTTTGGGGTTTGGGGGCGGGGGGGGACATAGAAAGGCATGATGTTCTGGTTTATGTTCCATAGTTTGCCGACCTTGAAATTAAAACATCTTTTCTAAGCAGCTTGGTGGGCGTGTAACCATTGTTGTAACTGAACCTAGACCCCCGCCCTTTGCCGAGAATAAAAACAACTCACAGGAACGATCTTAGAACCTGCTAACATGTATTTGACCAGGATGTAGCCAACCGCTTGTTTACACATGTTTAAACGCCCGATGATACCCCGTGGCTAAAGTAAACTACAGCAGCCTGCTGTAGGTTTCCCTGTAACAAAGGGTCAGGCCAGGTGTGGCAACCAAAAATTGACCCCCCCCCCTCGGCCCCAAACCCAACTGTTGGTAGGGAACTAAACACAATGCAAAAAAGAAGAACAAGAATCTGCTGACTCTTGGATTCTGCTCTTGGTGGCCTAAAAAAAGCCAAAAGTCCCCTATCCTGAGGCCAAACAGTCGGCTGACTTACAACTACAGGGACCTGACCGGGTTGAACATGGTTCAACATCCGGGAAGGGGCATATGGCTGTGGGTCAAACGTAGGTACCAAAAATGGAACCCTAGTAAGTGGCAGTTTCAACGTGGAACAAAACCTGCGGTCTTTTGGTGGCTTAATTTTGACCCACACCCATTCAATTTTTGCCTGATCAGTGATGGATTAAGCCCGCTGTTGGCTTTCGAAGTTTCTAAGAACCTTTCTAGGGGTGTGAATGCCACTCCTGCTTCGATACAAACATGTGTGCAAACATAATGCTCCGTAGCATGGCGTCCTGCAAACTGGGTTGACTTTGGGCCGCTTGTAAGTTTCATTTGTTTGCTGACGGGGGGTAGGCATTAATCTACCAACATATTAAACACCCCTTCCTGAGTGGTCAAACATCCAAAAGCCCTCACAACCACTTGAGTACTGTGCATTGGCCCAAAAGACGAAACAAAATCCGAGGGGCGCTATCGCGGCTCACCTTCCTGGTGGGCCGTTGCTCCTCCTCCTCCGCCATGACCTTAAAAATCTGCTGCATCCTCGGCCGGTGGTTTCGGGTGAAAGGAAGTTGGTGGATGACCGAATCGCAGGCACGGTTCCAACGATATTCTCACGACACCTTGAAGGACACGAGGAAAACTTGGTTGACGTTGGAAGGGGAGCAACAATTTAATTTTTAGCAGTTAAGTGGGGATTTCCCACTAAACCACACGCACAATAAGCAAAAATGAAAATTTGTTTCCCAACAACAACCATGAAAACCGCAAGAAAGAGCCCAAAGGACTTCGAAAGGACCTGGACACGCTTCACCTTCCGGGACCTCTGAAAGTGGTTGCCACCCGAACTTCTCAAGCAGGTGGACTCGCTTGCGGAGCCCGAAAACCCAGATCCGAAAGGAAGCCCCTTTAGACAGCCCGGAAAGGTAACCAAAAACCATCCCTCCCGCTGGGAGCCACAGACTTTTCGGAAGAAATTCAGGGGAAACTCAAAGGATTCAGGTCTTTCAAGAGTCAAAAACAACGGGATGAGATTGCGAACGCCTTGGTGCCCAGGGAAAAGCAGCTTGAACATCAGGTTGAACACCGGGGAAACCAAGGAAAACCCACGGAAACCCCACGGAAAAGAAAACCCATGTAAACTCCGGATGAAAACCCGAAGCTTCGGTTGAAAACTCCTGGGAATCGCTTGAAAACCTCGCTGCGTCGCGTCGGCCGAAGCGGGGCCCGGACTCTTCGCTCATCTTGGCGATGACTTCGGACTTCCGCTCCAAGTCCTCCGACTTGTCCTGAAGCTCCTGGCAGAAAACCGGAGGGCGGGGGAAATAGAGGGGAGAAGAAAGGGGAAGGGGGATGAGAGGGGAGGATGGAGGGGGGGAGGCGGGGGGGGATGGGAGGGGGGAGGGGGGAAGGCGAGGGCGGATGGGAGGAGGGAGGGGGGGAATGGGAGAGGATGAGGGCTGGAAGGCAGGGCAATTGCCTCCATCTTGTTGCAGGTACTCGAAAAGGACCGAACCTAAGCGAAATTCCAAGGAAGCGCGGAAATTATCCACCCTTGAGGGGCAACCCCTGGAAGGGGTCAGGTGTATTCTTATTTCCCACCCGCGCTGTGAATTATTCTAGGGAGCTGTTTGAAAAGTGGTTGGTGAACATGAATCCCCACCTAAATGATGTCCACAAGGTCCCCAAATACAAAAAACAACATGTCCGCATATAGCACCTGCAAAGCGAAGTCCCTATGACGACGCTCCGGATCAAACCTGGCGGCTTTGCAAACTCCCAAGAACCGCATCAACAAAACCGCCACGGCTTTTCGACTTCATCCATTCAAAACACATACTTGGAGCCTCAAACTACCTAGAAACAAAACTGGCTATTGCCCCAAAGGTATTTGAGGTGGCTTCCCTTTTGTAGGGGGCAGTTTGAAGTCCAGGTATGGGCGTCTCGCAAAGTGGATCGCGCTCAACACGGGTTCGCCTTTTCATGTATCACGCTCTTCGGAAGGGCCGCCGACTCAAAAATGACAAGCCAAAACTCGCAAGATGAATGGATCTACTTTTACAGGGATTTGGACCCAATGCTGGGGTTTGAGGGCCCTGGAAAGAAGACATGTGCTTATTTGAGGATGCCCTTAAAGCATGGGTTGAGCAGGAACATCACCTGCACATGTTCAAAACGTTAAGCTATCTGTTGTAAGTAAACCAAACAAACAACGGAAGTTGAACAGTGTCCCTCCAGGGATACATTTGGGCCATCCAAAAATCACATTTACCAGCGGATTTGGAGCATCGTGATAGGATTCCCTTGAGAAGCGGTGTTTAGATGTATCCTGCGAGGAACCATGTAGGGCAAGAAGGGGCCGTGTTTAAAAGCATGTGTTTCGCCAACCAACCAACCAACCAACCAACCAACCAACCAACCAACCAACCAACCAACCAACCAACCAACCAACCAACCAACCAACCAACCAACCAACCAACCAACCAACCAACCAACCAACCCTTGTTTGAAGAGCCTCCTTTTGGTTGGGATCCACTTAAACATGGACCCGAATGAGATCGACTTAGTACTTTTGGCGGGCAAAAGCTGAGGAAGTTCTGGGTTTCAACTGTTCAACTCCCCCCCCCTCTCTGCTGCAGCTTCTCGCGCGGGGCAGGCGAATTCCCCGTCCGGTTGGGTTCTATGGCTCTTTTGTCAGCGCCGGTCAACCGGCCATTGGTTCTAAGTGCTAAAACTAAGAACTATGGATAGGCAACCTCCTCTATGTGCGAATACGTCCCTTGGATCAATACCGGTCGCTGTTTCCTCCCACACTCTTGCTCGGTCGGTTGCCGGCAACCCAATCCCTGGAACGAGTATAGGACATGGGTATTAGATCATTTTTTCCACCAGGGGGCAGGTTTTAGTCCATGCTTCCATTGTCCAAGGTTCCAGGCTGGGTACCTACTTTTGACAACCACAGCCACCGAGACTTCCGCAAATTGGTCTCCGCGGGCATCTCCGGCCATATCTCGGTCCTGCCGCAGGACCGCGATCGCCGCCTTCAGCTCCGGAACGCCCTCAGGACCGCAGTGTTTTTTGGAGGGACGGGAGGGGGGGTGAATTCTGGGGTGGTCTGCTGCATTGGCGATTTGGTGGTCTTCCGGGGCGGGTTCCCAGTTACCCTCCATAAGAACCAGGTTCAAATCACCAAACCAAATCCAAACCACCACCTAGTCTAGGGGTTGATTCCCCATTATTTTCAACCATCGTTCTTTTCAAGAACCGGATCCGTTTCCCTGGGCTTGAGGTTTTAGTTTTCTAGAAAGAAAGATCCCTGGAAAGAATAGGGAAGGTAGCACTAGAGTTTTAGCCCGGAAATGAGGTGGTTTCATGGATCATGGATCTATGCGAATGGCTACGTCTTTCTTCGGGCACCACCCCAAAGACCCCAAATAGACCCCCAAAGTGGTCTCAATTTTCTTTTTTTGGGCTCACGCCAAACCAGGGGCAAGCGGAGTGGTTTGGGGGTGGCCTGAGGACTGAGAAGAGGACACCCGAAAGGTCCCGGCCTCGGGGATCGGCGCCGGCGCCGGGCTGGCGTAGGTCAGGTGCTGGCGCATGGTGGAGATGCTGGGCCTGCGGCTGCCAAACGAATGGAATTCTACGGAGAAACGCCCCCAGAAGGCTTCCAGAGGTGGAAAATCAGGGGGAAATACCCCACAACTCCATCCTTTTTTAGGCAAAGGTTTCCAGAAGTGGAAAATAAGGGGGCAATACCCTACACCTCCATTTGTTTTTTTAAGGCAAAGGCTTCCAGAGGTTGCAAATCAAAAAGACAACGTCATCCGACCAAAGCTAATCCCGAGTGATCTGAGTTTGTGAGACTCCTTTTTGTCAGATACACCTCCCAGGTGCTAGGTTAAGTAGTCTTGGCAAATGTCCCCACCGATTCAACCGATCAACTCCAGGGGCCAATTGCCATCTGCCAGCTGGGCGGGCTCCACATGCGCAACTGGGGTGCCCGGCTCCAGCCATGGGTCCTCAGGGAGAGAAAGCTGAAAAAGAACCCGAAACTCTTGGGACCTGTTCAAAGGGAACCACTCTCAAACAACAAAACACAAACAGCCTCCTGCTCTTTCTTATGCATCTTTGATATCCTTGGTCGCTAAAAACAACAACATCCGGCTCTTTCATATGTATCTTTGATACCCTTGGTTTTTGAAACGACTCCGCCAAAACTTTCGTCACCCAGGTATTGCGGCAAGAAGATTAAGCCCACTGGTGCATGAACATCCGACCCGCACGGAAAGGGGGACATCCGATGTTTATTCCCAACTGACCCTTTCAAAGGGACATGCTTGAGGGGCCTTGATATCTGTTACCCGGGCTGGTCCTGGATGGGGCTTGGAATGAACCCATGTCGCTTGAAACAAATCTGGACAAAGCAGAATCTTGGAGAAACTTGGTGGCTCTGAGGGCGATGTTTCCCAACAATGATCTGATCCCCTCTTCAATGGGACTCATCCCCTATTTATCAACCAGCTACTTGTCGCGAGTACCTGTCAGGCAGTTCACTAAGCAACTGGGCTCACTCACCCAAATTTCGATCGTGTCTCCCATTGGTTGATAGCCGATCGTTGCCAAACAAAGCCCAAACTGTTGTATGTCCTCCCTTCCTTTCACATCACCCCCAAAGGCAACCCCCTAAAACAAGCGCCCTAAACGGTCCAGCATTTTTTTATGGATAGTTTGACTAGGTCCTCCAGTAGAGAGGTTAGAATAAGGGTACCAACTTCTTTCTGTAGTCTATTTTGGTAGGGGAACCCTCCCAACCAAAAGAGAAACGGTAAAAGGGTACCTGGTTGGGACCTAGTTGAGGATCCAGGGCGATGTCATTCAGCCGCCGGCTTGTCCGGTCCGAAATTCGGGTCCTTGAGCCGCGCGAGCTCCGACGCGCCGCGGCCAGGTGAAGCGCCAACGCGGAAGCCGAGGCCAAAGCCGCGGTGGGCGTCGCGGAGCAGCTCCAAACGCTCGAGGAAGCGAGCCACGGAGGAGTAGTGCAGCAGCTGAGCGGGGGAGGCAGGGTGTGTGTGTGGGGGGGGAGGGGTGGGTGAGGTTGGAGGGGGGGAGTTGGGGCGTTGGGGGTGGGGTTGGAGGGTTGGAAGGTTTGAATGGGTGAACATGGGACCCTGAAGTGCGAGCTTCTCTTCTCTTACTCCAGGACTCGCCCCCCAAACACATTCGAAGCAATCCAAGAGCGCGAATTGATGTAAGCGAGACGTATTTGTTTCCAGTGCCCGGAGAATAAAAAAACGAACAAACGCCTCTTGGCAGCCGATGGACAGTCAAACAGCAACAGCAAAACGATAGGCCCTTAGGGGGCTCCACGAAAGGAAGCTAACCTTTAAGAGGGCTCCCTTCCCAGGGCCACACACACACTGGGGCATACACTGGTAAGTATATAGACATAGATGTTTGTGTGTGTGTATGCGTGCGCCCCCACGAAAGGAAGAATAAGACATTGCCCAAACATCCAAACGATGTTGAAAGCAAAGAGTGATTGGCACGGTCAAAGCATCCCAACAGGTAACGTTTTGAAAGGTAGTGCCCCAGCTTTTGCTCATCCGAAACGAGCGAGCCTGGCCCGAGGGAGTGGTGCCTCTTGCGCTGCTGCTGTGGGCATAGCTCATGAGACGGATCACCAAGACCTAGGCAAAGTTTGCAGGGATCCCAGCGCATGCGTGTGAAACAAACAAAAAAAACGCACCCAAATTCGAGGCTGAGACAAAATAGCCAAGCAGCTTGCTGTTGGATGTATCCTTTGGACCCCTGCCTAAATTCCCTTCGCCTAGGAAAAATGTGTTTGAAGGGACCCTTCTAGCCGCGGTCGGCCGGCTGGCAGTCCGAAATTTGGCGGAACTGGGCACTAGGCAGGACGCCTGTGCCCCTTTTCAACAGGAGCTCAGTTTGAGAAATGACTTCAGAACGAGTGGGCCTCAATTATGAGAATGGATTCTAGCTACATGGGCTCGAGTAGGGTACCTCGTAACATGTGTGTCCTCTGCAAGCGATCGGAACTCGAGAAATTGGAACCCAATCAATGGATCCCCTCAAGTAGGCTTCCTCTCCCGATGGACTTTGCGAGTTGACATCTCAAAAAGATAAGGGACCGCTGTCTTCGTTGCGTCCCCTTAAATTCCGTGGGGAACTAATCGCCTCAAAAAAGTTGCAGAAACAAAACCAAGTCACATCCACTTTGCAGTCCTAGAAATGCTTGGTGCGCCTTGCGGGTTACCTGTCCAAAGTGACCTGCATTACTTTTGCTTTCCAAGAGCAAAAACAAGTAAACCCCACAACACATCAGTGGTGGAAGCCTGTTGAGTATGGGGGGGGGGAGGTTCACCAAAACGTGCAAACCCGAATCCCTTGGAGTTGCTTTTGGGAGCAATCATGTCACTAAGGGCACATTCGGCACCCAGTGAGAAAGAAGGGGCGGGATATGCGCTAACGAGCGCAGGTCTCGGGCGACGCCTCCTCGGGCTTGCGGAAGATGTCCCAGACCAACTCCACCTCAAACCTGAGGCCGTTGCCCTTACCATTCCATGCCCAAATATGGCGGCACTCAGTGCTCTTAGCCTCCAGTTCATAGGTGTCCTTTTTGGAAAATAGATGGCCTTGGTAGATGACTGAACCACCAGGTACACCAGGGCCTTCTATCTTTTAAGCAAACCAACCAAAAAGGACACCTATGCTCCGATTCCCTCCCATCCACGAGTTGCCCTGGAACCTGAGTGAGGGATCCCGGAGCATTGTCCTCTAGAAGGGACTGTCTGGTAGGCTCCATGGTACCACTATAGTAGGTAAACAGCTGTTTTTGTTTACCTTTAGGATTTACACCATGGTTTTCCTGGTTAGCGGCAATTGGACTGGGGTACACAAAAAATGTGAAATTATCCCAGCAGAATTCACCTACTATAGTAGGCCAGTAGATCGTGGTTGCCTTCCTCCGCTTAAACTAGTTTGGACATGGAAATAAAAGGTAATCACCTTCTTAAATTTGGGGCCGCTAAAACATGGAAACAAATCAGGAAAACCACAAGTTCCCAAAATATTGATTCGCTTTGGTTGCAAGTGAGCTACTATAGAAAACAAAAAAGCTTAATTCGCATTGGGTACAAGCGAGCTTCTACCGGACATGGATGGCGTGGGTTTTTTAGCCATCACACAATCTTTGGATCAGACAAAACTCGCTTGCTCCGAGTGGCTGCATATGGTCCTCCGGCCGGACCTCCCGGGTGATCATGTTGGCCTCGTCGATGTGGTAGCACACCTTCCTAAGCGCTTGGACTGTTTGCTCAACATACACACACAAACAGGACAGACGGACCAGACAGACAGACAAACAAACGGACGGACAGACGGACGGACGGAAGGGCAAGGGAAGGCAAGGCAAGGAAGCAAGGAAAAGGAAGCAAGGAAGCCATTGTGCAAGAAGTTTTGTAATCCTTCCCATACCCTGCGGTGCCTTGGGACCATGACACAACCTCCCTTGGCCGCAAGGGATTCAAACAAAACGATTTCCTAAGGATGTGGGGTGGGCTCGGAACCTCGGGGTTCGAGGTGAATGATGAATTTGCAGGGGATCTGTGGTTGCCACATTGAAGTGTTAAGCCAACAGCTTGGAAGCTCTGTGCCAGCGAGTTAGGATTCCCCTAAAAGGCAAGCCAAAGTAAGGAAGGAAGGAAACCCCTTGAGAGGACTCACTCCTAGCAATCTGCCATGCTTATAAATCCGAACCTTTGAGATTCATAAAGGCCAGAAGCACCCGGGGAATTAGGTGTGCCTCATAATCGGCGAACCGCCAACAGGGTGGTTTCCTTTTGCGTTCCCTTTAAAACCGCCCCACACATCCTAATTATGATTGTCACAGGGACCCCGCAGCGGCCAGTAGCAACTCTTCATGGAAAAGAGCTAAAGGTGCACCAGTCATCTGGGCTGTTCTGCCCTGCCAAGAGCTTCACGTTTTGTGGGTGAAATGGAACCCCCACTCAATCTTAAAAACCTCAAAACCTAAGGGGACAGCTGGGAAGCACCGAGATCTGGCCGCCCCAAGTCAGGTTCGCACAACCTGCGCAGAACCGCACAGTGCTTTGCAGAACTTCGCAGTGTTGGACTGTTCCGGACAGTGCGACGGAGGGGGGGGGGATGTCGGGGGGATGGGGTTCTCCTTCGAGGGCCCTGAGAACCACTTGGTTGACGTTGGAAGGGGAGCAAAAATTGTAAAAAAAGCAGTTAAGTGGTTGGATTTCAACCACTAAACCACAATAAGCAAAAATGCAAAATGTTCCCCAACAACAAAAATGAAAGGAAACTGGGTGCCGATACCCCCGCATTCCTCTTTAAAAAACCTTTCCGCTCGAGGCTCCTCAGCGCCTCGAGAATCGCCACTGCCTGGGGAGGGGCCAGTTTCGGCAGCAGGTCTTTGACGTAGTACTGCCTTGGACCAAACAAAACCAGGGTGGGACACAACTGGGCTGTCCGTTTTCAGATCCCCCTGCTCAAAGCTTTTATTATCAGTTTTGTTGGTGGGTGAAATGGAAAAACCAAGTACTAAACCAACTCAAAACAAAACAACCAGCAAGATAAGGGATCCATGTTTGAGGGGTATCAAAATCCGCTTGTCCTTATTTGGCGGTGATCATTGGCTTGGCGTGGTGGCGGGGTCCCTTCCCACTCGCCTTCTAACCGTATCACAGAAGCGGCCTGGAACAACTCCGATGTGGGGTTGGGAGTCTAGCCAGTGCTAACTGAGAATTGCTGTCTGGTCCATACAGGATCGGCAAAAAAACAGATCTGCTTTCAACCAACTCTCGGCTTCCCTTCGAAAAAATCGCCTTTTCTCTGCCATTCTAGAGGAATGGACTTCGCTGAAACCGCCCCGAGCAAACCAAAGCCTTCGGCTTTCCCAGGCCCAACCGGCAAACACCCGACTGGAAGCCTGGGATAAGACGGTGCTGGAGAGATCCCGCAGGAACCGTTGTGTCCCCTCTCCAACTCGGGTCTCGGGTGTCGGACACACGGGGACCCGTTTACTTGAAGTTGAACACGTTGCAAAAATGAGTTGCGAGAAGGCCCTGGTTCCTTTATTGGGTATACTTCATTTGTCAGAGAACCCAATCCCCCCCTCCCCCCCCGCCCGCCCCCCCCTTCATTACCCCGCCCCCCTCCAAAAAAAAGAAAAACGGCCACCACCGCCAGCTCCGTCAATCCCAGCCGCAGGTCTCGAAGGGAGTCTGAGTGCGCACACAGCTGGCTCAGGTCTCCGAGCTCCGGCGGAGAGGCCGGCAAGACCGAGGTGTCCTCGCTCAAAGCCCGCGGGTTCATCCATGTGAGGGGCAGGAGTCCGTCCATGCATAGTATTACACCCATCCCAGTTAACACACATTGCCTGTTGGCTGCAATTTGGGATCAGAAACGGGCTGTCCACTCCCAGAACCCACAAAGAAACAAATCCACGATGGGGAAACCAACTTTGCGTAACAGCTGCCAAGAAGCTGTTGTGGAACGATTGAAATAAGCAGCGTTGCCTGCTCCACATCATGCCGTGCTAAAAAAAACCACAGCAATTGCACTGCACAGTGCACACAAGAATCACGGTTCCTTGCTGTTCAGGGATTTTCCCATTGGAAATGTCAACTAACTCTTTGTGCTGTTTCCCTTTCAAAACAGCTAAAACGGGCACACCGGGTTTTGTCAGGGCTGGATCCTGAGTTCAACCAGGCCTAGACCCTCGGAGCTTCAGGCTTTGGCCAAGTCATCTCTGCCAATTCCAGAAAACATCCAAAATATCAAAGGGATTCGCGAGCGAAGAATTTATAGCAACCTCATGTTGCCCGTCGCAGGCAGAAAGCAAAGCTTAGGCATAAGAAGGCCCAACAAGCCTCTGCCTTGAAGGATGCGGTCCTTGATTCTGGTCCCAAGCCGGTCCCGAGACCCATTCTTCTCAAAATCCCGTACCCCCAGTGAACATCCCAATCCCCACTAAAATGGACTAAGACGGGTGGTGCACATACCCCAAAATGGTAGCATTGGTTTTTGACCCACAGCCATGTAAGCCTCTCATGCGGTTTCTGGGCACTCCGCGCCTGGGATAGGACGTCGCTCTCCGTTGGCTCCCCCTTCTTGGGGATGTGGAGTCGCAAGAGCTGGGCCCTTCCGATGCAGATCCGGTCCTGGCAAAAAAACACAACTCGAAGGGGGTGACTCTTGGAACAAACTGGACCTACCTGGTATGGACGAGTATTCACTTCCGCGGATGTGCAACAAACAAACTAAACAGCTTGCCACTAAAATGCCCAGACCCAAAAAGTACAGTAAGACTAGGAACTCAGGTTTCGTGAGGTTATGAACCTCAGACTACCTCAGGCGTCCCACCCCCAATTTCACAGGCGGCCAAACAAAACAGGATTTAGAGGAAGTGTTGGGAACCAGCTTTGCCTCAGCTGAAGCAAGCTCGTAGGCCTTCACTCGACGAATTCTTGAAGGTCGGCATCACTGGTTCAGGGTTCCTCCAAAAACCACCGGCTTTTACAGGGGGTCCTCTAACCCAGCTACTAAGGGTGACTGTTCAATCGGCTGAAATGTAGCCCCACCCATGACTCCCACCCTGATCCACGTCAGTCCTTGTCTTCCAGCGCTACGCTTTCGCTGCTCAGCATCCTGAGTTATCGGTGGCAAAACGCATGGGCGTGGTGAGTGCAAGGAACCGCCAGTCGCACTTGAAGCCCAATGCGGACCTCCAGCTGTCATGGGAAATATAAACATTAGGCTAGCCCCTCCAAACAAAGAGTTCAAACAAGGGCAGCACTGAAGGTTTGCCAGAAGAGGCTTTCTGGCTTGCAGCTCACCTTGGGGTATAGAGGTGAGCTCAAGCACGTCGCCTTTGTTGGCTTTGCTTCCATGTTTGAAGCTAGGGTCTGCTTCAAAGGCCCGATCGGTAAGGTGGAGATGTGCATCCTGGAAATCCATTTCCTCCAAGGTGACCCCATATTATTCAACCCCAGCTTAGTAGTAGGGGGGGTTTTCTCTCCACAAATAATGGTTCCCCACCAAAACACGCCTGTTAATAAACTGGGCTTTAAACACTTTCGCCAATGAGGCTGACAAAAAAAAGCAAAACACAAAAAAATGAGCAATCGCGATGATCGCGGATGGTAATGCCCAAGCACACAAGGGATGGAATGCGGTTCGCGGGTCTCACATGACAGACCCTCCCCCGCCGCCCCCCCAAAGCGCTTGCCACGCCTGCCGTTGAGTAGAATCTGAGCGCGGGCAAAGTCCGGTCGGGACAAAGTCACCTTGGAGTCGTCCAGGTTGACTATGCCTTGGGAGAACACGAGTTCTCGGTTGCTTTCTGCTCCCCTGCTAAAAGTGACTAACTTTTACAGTAGTGGTTTAATACGGAAAACCCATTAGTTGGCAAAAGTTAAAGTCCTAACATCCAAGCAACATGCACCAATGAGTTTCCATGGCAAGCAAAGGAACGTCAGCCCAATAGAATGCCCTGCCCACGTTGTCATGGAACCTGACTGGGTCCTTACAAGAAACCCTCTGGTTCCATGCTAGTGGACAGGTGGACAAGGTGATCCTTGAACTCACCCCTTGGGTCTGGAGCACGGGGCTTTCTATCAAAAGAAGTCCAGGAACTCAAGCAGTGGGTGAAAAGTGGTTCGTAACCCCGGGATCTAGCTCACTTTGGAGGGACTTACCAAAACACGTGAGCGAAACGCCTTTGAGAACATATTTTGCACTCCTTTTCGGCTTGTTTTCGATTGTTTTCAGGCTCCGGGCCTGTGCTAAATACAAGGCCATGAAATGCGACAGGCAAGGGGTGATTCAACCCGTCAAGCAAAGGCTCGGCTTGACTTCAATTGGTGGAGGTTAGGGTTGGTGTCCCACTGATTTCCCCAAAACAAGGTTGGCAAATGATAATCCAAGCAAAACCTTGTAAGGAACAAAGATCCAGGTTTGGCGTTCAATATGTTCTTCAATGTCGCGGATGTTGTTTCAGCTGTGGCGAGCATTCGCTACCGCGTTGATATATGTCTTTATGTGTATATATATATATATATAAATATATATGTGTGTGTGTGTATGTGCAAAATATATGTATACATCGATATGCATCTATTGGTGTATTCGGTATTGGTTTAGACATGAGTATATGTGAAATATACATCCAAACCACCGCCCGATCTAAACTGCTGCGAGGCGCTGCAGAGGTTGGGCAGCACGCCCAAGCCGTCCTGGGAACTACTTCTCCCCATGCCTAACTCACCTAGGGAGAACCAGCGAGCCGGAGGAAAAGGGGGCATCTTGCGCATTGCTTAAAGGGACCCCCCTCCGCAGAAGCAAAACAAAGAAAAAGAAACAACCCTGGACGTTTCACGCGCGCACTTTGAGAGTGGTTTCCACCCCCGCCCAAAAAACAAAAAGAACAAGAAGGAAACTTGACGCTTCTTCGTCGGAGTGTCCACCACCACCGCGTTGTCGGGATCGCTGCCGATGCTCGTCCGCTCTCCGCGGGGCAAATGATACACGAGGCGCCCCGCCAACGTCGCGTCCTCCGACATGTTCCTCGGGCCGATGTCGGGCCACGGGAAGCGACTCTACAGTCTCCCCACCCAAAGATCCCCGGCACCTGCCCTGCCAGCAATATATTAACATGGAACCTGACGTTCGGGGGTCCCTTTAGGAAAATGGGACCTTCGAACGTCAGGTTCCATGTTGATTGGTGGGAGGGTAACCATTCAGGCCTTCGGCCTCGTTTGGGCTTTATGTTGGGCTTAACTAACCTGAATGCGTTCACTCCCCTGAATGAGGCCTACCAACCCCGAGCCGTTAGTGGGCTGTAAAATGGATACCCGGCCCTCTTGGAAAAAACAAAACGAAGCACAATATTGGAACACGCCAAGGGCCTTTTCCAATCTCCACTCCCTACTTGAGGAATGTCGTTTGGACAGCACTTGGGATTTTGGCTGGGCGGGGTTGTTGGAACACAACCTCTGCGTCTAGTGTGAAGACCGAATTCACCCCTCCCCCACAATAGGGGTCACTGACGCGATAGGTGCTAGCGCTGGGATTGAAATGAGCAACCAGATGAGCAAGGAGAGGTGACAAGCTAACTAAAAAACTCCCATGCTAGCTCAGCAGGGGCAGGGGGGAGGGGAAATGGGGGTGGTGGGGAGGATACCCAGGAAACTGAAAACCACAAGTTTGCAGGGGCTACAATGGGGTTTGGTCCCACCTGGGGTTTCTGAAAATGGATTTCTTAAGACTTTGGGCTGGCATTCAAAGAGAAGCCACAAGGAAACCCACTTGAACTTCGGCCCCGGATCCACCCGTTTCACGCTGTTTCGAGGCGCTCAAAGCCCTCCGTTGTCCCCAGGCCAAAGCAAGCAGCACTACGACACAGATGGTGTTGGAGCTTGCTTACTCCGCATTTAGCCTTCAATCTGGTAGTAACGCCTGCTTTCAGATTTTACGAGGCCGTGATGGTTCGCCCCTTCGCGAGGGACCAATTGTCTACCCTTGAACCCTGTTCGACTAGGCACACTGGGCACGCTTGAAGCATGAGATCTTAGAAAGGGCAATTAGAGGGTCGCCCCTGAACCGACAAAAAGCCCCGGCTCGCATGGTCCGTTGGTGGATTCCATTTCGCCTCAGCGTCGCCAGGTATGGCGTCACATCGTCTTCGGAGGCCGGATCTGTCAGGCCGCACCACTCCAAGGTCTTCGCGCGCTCACGGGCCAGCTTCTTCTGGTCTGGCCTCATGGCCATTCTGATGAGAGGGCATACCGCGGACGCACGAAATCTTGCACCACTTGACTTGGAATCCATGGCTGAAACCATAACGTTTGTTGGTACCTTCAGGTGAATCGAATCATTCCCTTGCGTTTCTTAGGTAAATCGAATGTCCTGGGTAAAGATATGGGTGTTTCTCAAGCTAGGGGACCAACTAAACTGTGTGGTTTGCCTTCCATATGAGGGTTGATCGATATATCACCCCCATTTACTTAAGCCCCCTAAAAAATATACAAAACAACATCCAATAGTGATGGAGTCCCTTTAAGACTAACAGGGCAAAACACTACATATTCCTGGCAGCAAATGGAAAAACATCTTTCTGTGGTCTTCCAAGCCATGGTCATGCCATGTAACGCACCCTTTGATCAACCTGGCTCCCGGAGAGCCCGGTGCCAAGCAGCGTTTGAGATCACCCGGTGAGATCACCCCTTGCCAACCCCTTGGACAGAAGAAGAACACAAACACCTAAGGACATGCCAAGGACAGTGAAGAACCTCATAGGAAATTTTGACATGCAGCACTGTTTTTCATTTTTTGACAACATTCGGCTTTCATGCGTGTGTCTTTGTGGAAAAGCCGGGGGACATGTCAAAGATTCGGCATTGTGTGACCACCGCACTGCAGGAAACCTACTTGGCTTCCTGGAATCACTTGCTGACCAACCAAATCCATTTTTATTTACTACTCAAATGGTCATCCAAAAAAGTTTAAAGTTCATGAACTCAGGAAGTGAGTGAAAGATTTAACAACCCGAAACAAAACACACAAAACACAAACATGAGGGCTATTTAGCCCTCCCCATCTGGCCAGGTAGAAAATGGAACTTCAGTGCAGGGTCAGGAGCATTTTTGGCAGGGACAGAACACCAAAACAGGGTTTGGAGGGTGGAAGCCACCCAGCAACTGGAATTGTAGGGGGGTGGCTGCTTGGATGTTCGGCCAAGTTTCAGTGGTATTCAACGGTTAACCCCACGCAACGAGGGACTTGTGAGTGGGCAACTTAGGCTGCCCACTACAACTTACCCCTGGACTCTTACATACCCCTTTGAGAAAATAGATGGCCCTCGCACAAGGCCTACAAAACCCAACCAAAACCAGTGGAACCCATCGATTGCTACCCAAAACTCACCGACCAAGAGGATCCCTATGCCTGGACTTGACTTCGCGGCACGGGGCCGGCCTCGTATTGAACTCCACGATGAGGCTGCCTCTGAGCGCCAACTCCGACTCGGCCTTGAGCAGAACCACCTCCTCTTGCAGGAGGCTCAGCTGCCTAAGGGCAACCCATGTGGCCGTGGGTCAAAAACATGTACCAAAACGGCACCTGGAACCAAGGCCTAAAACCTGCGTGCCCCCAGTTGCTTAACTTTGAGCCACACCCATGTCCCAAGGCCTATCCCAATTTCAACATGAGTGGCAACTGTGTCACGGGATTTCCAATGGCACCTGTGGAAATCCAAAAAGGAGGCGACTGGCTTTTGAAAACAGATGGCATCATCCCATGGAAACTCACTAGAAGGCCCAAGAGCGACATGTTCTTGGACCAATGTTTCAGCCAGGTGTGTTTCAGAAGCCGCTGTGGTTCCCTTCAAAAGGTTGCAACCGACTGGCTTCCATTGAAACACTTTCGGAAGTTGAGGAAACGATGCGAGTGGATATTGTCCTTGGTTGATTCCAAGATTAAAGGTTTAACCGTTTTGAAACCTCTACGGAGAAACCAAAAGGTCAAAAGGTCAGCTTGAGGCAAGAGAGGGTGAGACTTCACAGGACCCCAGTCATGAGCCTGACCTCCAAGCCCAATGAAACGGTGACCTTGTGCAAGGACATCCTCATCAAACATGTCATGTTCCGTTCCAACTCCACCGCCGGACATGTCTAGGTCATACACTTATGACTCGTGTGCGTGGCAAGGGAAAACACAATTCACATGATTCTTGGTCCGTTGTTCCTTTTTGGGTCAGGGCAAAACACAAGTTGTGCAAGCAAAGCCGTGACTGAGGGGAACTGGTTCTCCAGCTTTGCCTATTAATATCGCCTGTTTTGCCCGTCCCTGCTGGATTGAAACAGAAAACCTGCAGGGTAGTTGGACGCTGCAAAGAAGAAAAGGAAACCCCAAATCCATGTGTTTACCAGTGTGGTTTGGCGCCTTCAGGCAGGCTGCTGGCTCCTGAGTGCCGCTTTGCTAGTAAAACCTAAAGGAGACTAAATAGTATGGTCTACCTTTCTTGGTTGCTGTTGATCTCTCTGCAAAAAGTTGAACTTTTTGGTGGGTTCAACAAACACCCGTGATTCCCAAAAAGTTCAAGTCTAAAGATCCAACCCAATAGCAATCAAGCTTTGGCATGTTGCTTCTGATCGAAAGCTTGCTTCGTTTTGGAGCCAACCGCGCCGAGGTGCTCTTGCCGCGTCCGCTGGACGCGCGGCGATGCATCTGATGCCACCTGTCAAAATTTGATCAGCTGCCAAGCGCACCCGAAACTTCGCATTTCCACAGCGGAGGGCCCTTAAAAAAAACAGCGACAGTTTGGTTTACGAACATCCTCACAAAAAGCCTCCAGTCAACCTCAGGAAGGGAGAAACTGAGAAACTGCTCCCAGCCGACATGGGCCCCCTTGAAAAAGGTCTTCCAGGCGCCCCCCACGATTTGTGTAGAGAAGGTGGGGGGTTGAAGTGCAACCAGCAAGCACGTTCACACGAGCGAGGCAAGCATGCAGGTCAGCCACAAATTGTCGTCCTACCAGGAATTCATAAGCAGGCGGTTGCCGCTGCTCCTAATCAGCGCCCCCCTATTGATTGGTGGTTTGGTGGTTAAGAGTGGTTTCCCATTTACCCTCTACAGCAGTTCAATTCCCCAAAACCACCAGTCCAAACCACAAATTAAGGAACACCCAACCAGAAGTGGGTCCCCCCCGCTCAAAATCAAAGACCTTCTTGGAAAACCACTGCGAGCAACCCGATAACAGCACTGACCCCGGGAAAAAGAGCCCATAAGTAAGGCCCATGCAAAGTCGGCTCTCTGGGTCGGAAGGCGCCTTTTTCCGGTAGAGGTTGGGCGAAAAGAAGCGACACTTGCATTGTAACCACCACAAAAAATCCCCAGTTCTCAAGGTGACCCCAGGCTGCCAGTCCCAGTTCTTGAGTGACCCTTAAGAAAATGAAGGCCCGTTTTGTTTGTCACGTTTGTTGTCTGGGCACGCGAAGCGTGAAGCTCGAGAAACAGGCTGAAGAACTGGGACCGAGTATAATCTTGACCATAGTACTCAACCCAGCTGTAATAGTTGTTTTTTTTTTTTTTTTTTTTTTTTTCCCGGGGGGGTCTCAACCTGGGTTTAGTGGTTGGAATCAGACCACGTTTGCCCTCTATTCATCAACTGGTTGGTTGATTAATACTGTGGATGGACGGAATCCTGCACCAAGAAACCCTGGAATGGTTCGATTCCTGTGTAAGTACCAGCAACCAGTGGTTTCAAACATGGATTCAAAGTGGTGCGAAATGGATTTCGTCCACCCACCGCATGGGGTCAACCTTCCTCACTCAACGAGTCACCCCAAACATCATGCCTTGAGCCGGGTGCTGCTCAGCGCCGCCGCCGCGGCTTTCGCGCTCTTGCCCACGGTAGCGACCACGGTACAGCGCCAGGCACCTTTTTGAAAGGGCCGACCTTCTGGTGGGTTGATTCCAACCATTCTAGACCCGAATGGACCAGTGAGGCACTGCCAAGACTCGTGGTGTTCGCAACCAAAGTGGGATTTTGAAGAGCAAGCACGATTTCAACATCTCGGTTTATGTCTGCTCCCCCGCTAAAGTGACTAACCTTTGTGGTTTAATGGAAAACCCATTAGTTGGCAAAAAGCTGAAGTCCTAAAATCCAAGCAACATGCACCAAAAGTTCTTGTGGTGCTGCCCCGGCTGTGAGCCCAAGGAGTTGCTCCCAAAAGAAGTGGCGCTCGAAAGGAACAGCCCCTAATAGGAGTCGCTCTTGGCCCCTATTGGGATTTGAGGGGACCATGGGATTTTGTCCCCGGACCAAATAGTTTTATTTTTGCTGGTTGCTAAGGAAGCACTACTACCAGCAACCAAAAAGTTCAAGGTGAAGGATTCAACAAACTAGCTACCAAGCCTGCGGGCCATGGACATGGCTTTTGTTTGATAGGAATCCTTACCATGAGTGTCAACGTCCTTGTCAGGGTGTTGATGGGCCAAACTGATGTGTGACCGTGAAAAGTAGTGACTTTGGACTGGATGCATGCCAAAAAAGGAAACCCAAGAAGGCAAAAGGTGAAAAGCGTGACTCCGTGTCCATCGACTTGGGGCCTCCCATGGGCAAAACAGAAGTTTGTTTAGCTTGACCTCATGCAAAACCCAACGGCGGCCAAGTGGTGAGTGGCGGCAAAACAAAAACCGAGGTCCATAGCCCCCTCCACAAACAGACTTGCCCCTGGGAACAAGGGGAAGAGGGCCCCCTTCACGGAACCGTGCAGGCGCCTGTGATGCAGTCGGTCACCGCAAGGGTCAGCGGGCACGACGCTTGTAGCAGCCTCTAGGCGATGCAAACTAATCCTCCTTGCATTCGCAAATGCGTGCTCACACATTGTCTTGCTAGTGCTCAGCAGGGAATAAACCAGGCTGTTGGGAATGAACGATGGTTTATAGGGGGTCATTCCCTCATTCCCCACTGAGAACCAGCAAGTTATGAACAAAATGGTATTGTACGTATACATACACATACATATACACCATCTTCTTGTTGTATGTTCATGTACAGTTGTGGTGTCCCGGACTCCCATTTGGGCACATGCCCAACATGTTCAACTGTTCAGCAAACCGCACACAATAGAAACGCGGAAAAGGTGAAAAGGGTATACAAACAACTCACTACCCTGACCAGAGCGCCTTTGTTGCATGAGATCAAGTAAGCCACCACACAAAGAGGAAGGGGGTGATCTCAATGTCCATTGATTGTTGCTTCAACTCCTGTCAGGCCTGTAGTCGAGCAAACTCTGGTGAAAATGATGGAAAGGCAAACAAAAACGGTCAGTGAGCCGTCTGGCAATCCCAGTCAAAGTGGGTAACCCTTCGCCATGTTCCTTTTGCTGAAGCCCAAGTAAGTGGCTTCACCGTTCGTTTTCATTTCCCTAAAACCTGACAAGGGCACCCACAAAAGACAGCCACCCACAGGCAAATGGACAGAAGTCCCTGGATTTCCCTTCAAAAGTTGATCGATTTAGTGTTGGTTTCCTCAACAGCTGACTCCTAGACTGGCCAACCAAAGTCCGAACTTTCATTATGTACCACCACACAGCTCCAAAAATCCCAGAATCCCGAACAAGTTCCCTTAAAAGGGGAGCTGGATTTGAACCCCGGGAAGTTCCCTTGAAAAGGAGAGCCAGATTTTGAACCCCGAGCCGGGCCGGCCTCGAGTCGAGTCTCAAGCCGAGCGGCTCCTCGGCCTCCAAAGATCGGAGGTCCAGGGAGGGCACTGCGCAGTCCGCCGCCGCCAAGTCGAAGAAGCAGAGCCTCCGCGACCCGCGACCCGCGGCGAGCGGAAGGGAGTCCGGGGGAGTTTGGGGGGGTGGTGCCAAAAAGGGGGGGGAACCCCAGGAATCCAAAACCAGCCTATGTGTTCTTGGATTTGGATTTCGTGACGTTTCAAGGGCGTTTTTCAGCTCGGGGGGGGGGGGGGGGTTGGAGAAATGGATGCTGAATAAAACAACACTGACGCCCCAGCAGGGTTCCTCAAACCAAAACCTCTAGAAGATAGAGGATCCTCTAGCTCAGCCGGTCCTGAGGTGAGATTCTCAGTGGGCAAAGGGATCCTCTGAGGAATCCTTCTCAACCAAAGCACAAGGATTGGATTGGTACCATATATTTGGCAGTTTCATTGGGACTCAATAGAAAGTCCCAACTAAATTGAGGGAGCTAATCAGCTTCCTTCTATCTGACGGTTTGGATTGATGGTTTGAACGTGAGAAGCTTAAAGTCCCCATTCGCCCTGTGAGAACCAGGGCTCCAAATCACACCGCCAATCCACACCGACAAAGGTCTTTCCCTGATGACCCGACAAATACTATGTAAATTGTGGTTTCAAGGAAAACCACGCCGTAAATTATGTTTTGAGCACGCGGGTGTTGACTGTAAGGAACCCAGTTAAAGCTGTGAAAGGGCACCAGGTACACAGTCCTCCACTTTTGGCGAGGTTTGATCCCGGCAAAGGGGGACCAAAGGAAACGTTGACCGATTTGGTTTGTCTCATTGGAGCACCACATGGGCCAGTGGACAACTGGGATGATCACCAACTTGGCAAGCGGCTACCCACGTAGGAAACTGATTGACAGGGGATATCAGTCACTCAATCACCACTGGGGTCTCCTCCAAAACAATCCTTCTACCTTAGGCTATGGAACAGCGTCAGAAAATATGCCTTTCTGTTCACCCCACAGATGTGGTCCAAACTTGAGCGAGCTGGTCATGCATGAACACGGCCCAAAGGCGAGCTTTGGGCAATGCCGCAGCCCAGCATCAGGCCACCGAGCCTTGCACTGGTGGCTGCAGACTCCACCCGCAGTGTGAAGAGCTGGTGGGAGCGGTTGGTCGCGCCTTTCAGCAGCGACTCGAAGGGCGCTTTGGTTGGACTGCTCTTTCTGGCAAAGGGTGAAGTTGTGGAGGTCCCCCAATCAATTCCACGTATCTTCCCCATGAAAGGGAACTGGTGCCAATGGAATTCCGAAGGGTCGAGATGTAATTTTGGAGTTCTTGTTTTATTTTGGGAGTTTTTTTTGGTTTTCCGTCCTGGCCACTAAAATGCTGCAATTTACAGCATTTTCTCGCGAAATGTACGTATTTTACGCGTCCGTCAACATCATCAGCATCGTTTTCAAGATCGAAAAAGTGATGATTCAAATAGGGGCAAAAAGTCCAAAAAATAGCGGGGGGGTTGGGGGGGGGCGGCAGCCCCCCCCCACGATGATTGAAAAAGTGATGATTCAATTAGGGCCAAACAAATATAAACAAGCAGCGGGGGGGTCATCAGTTCCTCTGCGGCAAGGCCTCATGGTACAAGTGAGGATTCAATCACGGGCAAACTAATCCCTGTAAAACACCTAAAACGTAGCGGGGGTGGGGGGCGGCAATTCCCCCCATGATGATTGAAAAAGTGATGATTCAATTAAAGGCGCGGGGGGGTTGGGGGCGGCAGCCCCCCCATGATGATCGAAAAAGTGATGATTCAATCAGGGGCAAAAAGTCGGGGGGGGATGATGATTGAAAAAAGTGATGATTCAATGGGCAAAAAATAAAAAAAAAAGCAGCGGGGGGGGGGGCATCAGTGCCTCTGCGCCAAGGCCTCATGGTACAAGTGAGGGTTCAAATACGGGCAAACTAATCCCTGCAGATCGAAAAAGTGATGATTCAATCAGGGGCAAAAAGTCTAAAAAATAGCGGGGGGGTTGGGGGGGCGGCAGCCCCCCCATGATGATCGAACAATTAGGGGCAAAGAATCTAAAAAGTAGCGGTCGCATGATGATCGAAAAAGTGATGATTCAAATAGGGGCAAAAAGTCCAAAAAATAGCGGCAGCCCCCCCACGATGATTGAAAAAGTGATGATTCAATTAGGGCCAAAAAAATATAAAAAAGCAGCGGGGGGGTCATCAGTTCCTCTGCGGCAAGGCCTCATGGTACAAGTGAGGATTCAATCACGGGCAAACTAATCCCTGTAAAACACCTAAAACGTAGCGGGGGTGGGGGGGCGGCAATTCCCCCCATGATGATTGAAAAAGTGATGATTCAATTAAAGGCGCGGGGGGGTTGGGGGGGGCGGCAGCCCCCCCACGATGATCGAAAAAGTGATGATTCAATTAGGGCCAAAAAATATAAAAAAACAATGGGGGTCATCAGTTCCTCTGCGGCAAGGCCTCATGGTACAAGTGAGGATTCAATCACGGGCAAACTAATCCCTGTAAAACGGCAGCCAAAGAATCTAAAAAGCAGCTGTCGCATGATGATCGAAAAAGTGATGATTCAATTAGGCGTGTATTTTAATCGAAAGGGGGGTGGCGGGGGGCACCAGAGAGGAACTTGCGATGCTGAGGATGCAGGAAGCCAAGGCCAAAAACCAACTGGGAAAGCAGAGGATGCGAAAAGCCAAAGCCAGAAAGCCGCCAAAAGCCACAAAGCCAAAAAGCCAGCGGAACTGGCAATGCAGAGGATGCGAAAGAGAGGAACTGTGAATGCAGAGGATGCGAAATGAAAAGCCACAAAAGCCACAAAAATCCACGTAAAAGCCACAAAAGCCAAAAAGCCGAAAAGCCACCCACCCTGAAAAGCAAAAATAATTCCTAAAAAAAACGAAAAAAATCCTTTAAAAAATGGCCCTCCAATTCCGAAGGCCACGCCCAGGTTCCTTTTCAGTCCATGGGTTTGCAACCCCCTTAAACTGCTAGCCAAAGGAAGGATTCAAACATGGGGAAACTGTGCCATTCACTTTCACCCAAGCATAAAAATCAGTGATCCATGAGCTGACCAATCGCCAACTTTCCTCCGATTGCTCGTTGGGCGTTTTGGATGATAGGGCTTAGCTCCCATTTGCGAGGGGCTCAAGTAAACCACCCGTTCAAACCGCCAGCCTGATTCAACGTGGGCACATTGAAGTGACACCCTTAAACCAAAAAAACAGTGCAAATGGGTGGTTTCACGAGAATTCTCGAAACAACCCAAGTCACAAATTGAGCAGTGCCGAAAGCCCATTTCAACTTTTGGATTCTGAGCTCCTTTTGCCACCAAAAGGCCAACTAGAACATGCTGAAATGGGACCTTTTGGGGGGTTTGGGCGCCGCGGGTCAGCTTGCGCGAGGCGCTGTGAAGGCAGGTCCGCAGCAGGGCGCGGCGCTTCAGGGCGAAGCTGACAAGCTCCTGGATGTCCTGAACCCCGACTCAACATCGGAGTAATTCCATTTCTCAGAGGGTCATGAAACCGGTTTGGAGGCGTTTGTTTTTTGCTTTTATTCTTATTCTCCCTCTGTCTCCCCCTGTTGGTCCTTTTCTAGCACCAATTTTAGTACTCTTACATCAAACAGGGCTGGGTCCACGAAAGCCGCATCTAAACCGGTTTCTAGAGGGTGTCTAGGTACCCCACGTATTCGCGGTGTTGGGTTTCAACTCTCTGCCACATGGTTTTGGGCTTGGTTCAAGGGGATTCGGCAACAGATTCCTCAACTCCTCCCGATTTCGTAGCCAAGGAGAACCCTTCAAAAAGCCCACATTTTCCTCTTGACGAACCAACAGTGACCCTATCACAGTTATTCTTCGCGTGGCACTTTTTTTTGGAATCGTAACATGACAAAAGGTCAAAAGGTCCTCTTTGGACAAGAAGTCTTGGTCCCCCTTTAAAACCAAGAGGACATGGGATTATTCCAAATCGCCCTCTGTCTAAGAAGCCAGCTGATTCCACTCCAGCGCATATATGAGTGGGTTGTAACCTAGGTTGCCAACAAGCCATCGACAAAAAGCTCTACAGGAAGATAGACGAAAAACCCACCACATACCGGGGTGTTTGCTAACTGCCTCTAGGATGTTGGTAGTTGACCGAACTGACTTTGGAAGCGACACTTAAAAGCCTCCGCCCAAAACGGGAAAGACTTGCAGAAACCCAAACTTACGCAGGGTAAGGATGCGGCAGGAGCAAGGCCCAGGCGTTCCTTGTCCGCTGGCTGAAAAACCGGCAGGAGGGCCAAAGCGGACCCCCGTCCTCAGCATCAGGGTTCCCACTTCTAGTGAATCAACCCAAAGAGAAATGTAGAAACGCCCAGAATCCACTCAAGTCCACCCAACCTGCTACCTACAAAGGGGGTACTTACCTTCAGCGACTCACCACGGCCTTGGATAATAACCATGGCGAGCTGCACATTCAGGAATTCCGACACCTGAAGTAAGGGATCCCAAAATAGAGGACCCAGCGCTCGCCATACAGGAGAAAGTACATGACAAGTGACAAGTCACATAAGTCTGGAAAGCCTTTACTACCAGCGTGAAGTAGAGGGACCCACCCAGCCACACGGCTCCTGCTCGACGGGCATCTCGGTGGCTCCCACCAGCTGCACGCCCAGCCGGGGATGGTGCACGAAGCTCGGCACCTTGCGCTCCAACCTCGGGGCAACCAGCGGCCAGCAGCCAGCAGCCAGCACCCGCCCCCCTCCAAAAAGACATACTCAAAAAGAGAAACATCAAGTCGCCCCTTATAACACTCGCTTGCCCAAAGAAACTGCAAATCAAAGGTGATCGATCACCTTTTGGGACCTTTAGCCAAAAAGTGGCTGCCAAAATGAGGAAACCAACAGGTTCTTTCAGGCCATTTTTTGAACAACTGAGAGTAGTGGTAACTGGAGGCGGTTGTTGGACCCCAGTGGTAGGGAGAAATCGCTTGGAGGCAGTGGGAAGCATCTTGGAAGGGGCTGTTTCGTGGTTGAAGCCGAAATTTCCGTTCAGACCCTTTCGGGGTTAGGAGTATTCTGTTTCAAGGGTAAGGAACATTCCTTTTTGGCGATAGGAGGGTATGTGATCTTGGAAGCCAAGCAACGGCCCCGTGGCAAGCAGGTCCTGGCAGTGGTCGTCGAAGATTTCCACCGCACTGAACCTCAACGCCAGAGGCCAACATGTCGAACCAAGTCAGGCAGGGACCGATGGAAATTCCACAAACCGAATTCAGAGGCTCAGCTCTAAACGTCGCTGCTATCCCCAATCAAAGTGGATCCATCTTTCAGCACTGCTTGTGGCAGGGCAAAATGTTGCAATTCACCAACCAAAAACAAGGGCTTGTTATGAAAGACACCTGAAATCAGGAATGACGCCGCAAACGCGGCAAAAGCCGCTACCAAAATACGCCACCCTGTGCGCAGCAAGGTTGCAGAGAAAACGGGTGACATCTGCCGCTTTGTTGGGCCAAGGCGCCAGACAGAGATCGCCTCTGTCTCTCCAAGGGCTGCAGCGAGCCGCGGCACAAGGCCTGGTGCCTCACAGGCAGGGGAACATGAAGCAAAGCGTTCTTAAGGCAAGGACGCACAGGCATCAGGCAACTGACCATCTGACCAAACGCTATTCCAGAATCGAGCCCACGCCATAGGAGAGCCCAATGGGTCACTGTAAAGCTAAGCTCAGTTTCCGCTCCGCGCCTCATGCGTTCCCAGCAGCGTGTAGCTCTTCCCCGACCAGGCGCCTCCGAAGGCCAGCAAGCCGTGACCTGTGGCTCGGGCAACGTTGACACAAAAACTCGGGTGCTGCAAATCCCCCAGCAAAAAGCTTAACTGTTTGCTCTCTCAATCGCCACGTGCGGAAACACAGCTAGGCCAATTAACTTTTTGCTGGTGAAAGGAAACATGGGGGTATCCAAAAAGTCAAAGTCTAAGGATCCAAGCCGATAGCAGTAGAGAAAACCTCACCATCCAAATGGGTGGCTGGGTCGTCTCGTTGTTGGATTTGGACCTCAAAATATTGACCAAAGGGGACCCGTATGCGGGGGTAGGGGTCGCTTTTTTGGATTTGGATCCCTCCCCCAAAGAAAGAAAGACGTGGGTTTTCCTGATGGCTTCCCCTTAAAACGAGCCAAAGAGGAGAACCAACTCCCACCCAAGAAACCCCCCCAGAAGTAATTCTGAGGACACCTCAAGATGCTCACTTTAAGGGACCTCATATGCGGGGAGGGAGGGGGTGCCTTTTGATAGGGAAACCCCTTTGAGATTTGCTGGAGGTCCTGATGCTAAGATGTTGCTGTGTTACGATACCTGTTTTGGGGTAGTTGTTGGTTTAAGGGGGAAACCAAATTGGAGACACACTGATATGGGTGTGTTTTCGCTGAGGGGAACTGGTTTGTCTTGTGTTCAAAAGGAAGCCACAAGGAAAATACCAACTGGCAGGATTAAAAAACCCGTCCCATTATTAGGGGGGTGTTCCCCCCAAAAGTGATGAATCCCCATTAAAAGGGGACCCCCCCTATTAATCAACCAGGGGTTTATTAATCCGGGGTCAACATTACAAGTTAACTTTTGGCTGGGTGAAACTGGAAAAGGCAAACTAACACTCAAGGCTAAGCCTCTTGTGGGGAGCTTGAGGTTTACAGAACCAAAAGGAATCCCGATGTGACGGGTGTCCGCCATTTCGCGGAGGTCTGACGAAACGGCCATACGCCCAACAGGGCACGATGGGAATGCTGAGGTGCCCCAACCCATGCAAAGCACCCACTTGGGTCAAGTTGGGTGTTTTGGTTGTTGTTGTTTTTCAACAAAGTGTTTTTTCAAAAAAAAAAGAAGAAGAAGAAACCAAACGCAGCCTCTCAACCCAAACCCGCCAAACCCGGTGTTTCCTCATCACCCTTACCCCCAAACCTGCCCAAAGCTCTCCACCCGAGTCTTTCTTCTGGCGGCTGCGCCCGCGCAGCGCATCTTGCAGCAAGGGCAGGCCCAGGGATTGGAAGGCCTTCTCCTGATTCGCCTGGAGCCAGGCGCTTTTGAGGGAGCGGGGAAGCCCGTAAGCCCATCCGCGTCCAAGCGTGGCGCTACTTCCTTCAAGGCAAGGCAGATCAAGAAACAAGGGGCATGTTGCCGGCGATTGAAGGGCGATAAAAGAAAAAACAACAGACACATCTTGGGGTAGGTTTGAGGGTCCTCTGGTTTCCTTTGATCCTTTGTCTTCACTTTGAGAAACACTCTGGGTTTAACCTCTCTCAGCTTCCCCCGGAAAATGCCGGGACTAAGCTCGACTCACTTCCCCGTAAAGAAGCGTTTGTTTGCCACTCAGTTTGCTTTCCCAGAAAATGTAAAAAGTCCAACTTCGGAAGCGAGCCTTGGGGGAAGCAGAGGGATATACCCAGGTCTTCGGAGAGCTGTTCTTTTGGGGCAACCTGTGCTTGAGGTTGGCAAGCCCAAGGAACACCCAACACCCCCGACTTTCAGGGTGTGGTACTTGGTGAGCTAGCATCTAGTAAGTGGCACTTGGTACCCAGGCTACTCAAAAGGCAGGGTACTAAGTGAGTGGTCGGCAATGGCTAAGACCCACTTTTTGGTGGCTCTATCTAAGCCCTTGCGACCTTAGTTGCTCCCCAAAGTATCATGGAACACCCCAACCCAAAGCAACATTCCGGAAACAACGTCATGTGTGTTCCATGTGCACCTTCATAGGAGCAACCCAAACAGGGTTGCTTTTACCCCCCACTGGATGGGTGCGCCGAGCGCCCGTCTTTTCCGGCCGTAGCGGGGCGTCCTAACTTCAAATCAGGAGTCCTAAGGCTAGGATCCCTTGAAAGTTGGCGAGTGCAGCTAACATTCTTCAGATTGGCCTGTCATGACTTTCACCATCCACAAGTGGATCACCAAAACGGCGAATCAACAAAAAAAACCTGACTAACCCGGGTGTCGAATAGGCGGGTCTGGAAATTTTTATCTCGGACCCACACCCTCGTCCAAATCAACCGCGCCTCAGGCGAGTCCCCATCGGCGAGCACCTCGTCCACATCGAACCTGCAAGCTCGACTCACGGAAACTCAACATCCAGCAAATTGTTAGCCACGGTTGACTGCGTCCCCCATGTGGCTCGCAAAAGGACCATGGACCACCAAATTGGGCCATACCGGGTATGGAAACCAATAAACACATATTGGGAAGTACCTTGTTAGAGGTCCTTGGCCCAAGAACAAGTCTCCTTGAAAGGTTCCTTCGCGGCCCCAGCGCGAGGCCAATTCCAAGAAGGCCGTGGTAGATTCACGCCCTCACGTGGCCCTGGAATTTCGACTGGAGTTGGCAAAGTAAGAGTTAGCCGATTGACGGATACATTTGGGCCAAATGGAAAAAGACGCGTTTACCAGCTGATTGAGAGGATGCCCTTGCAAAGAGGATCGCCTTGCAAAGGTCGATTCGCTTTGAACAAGCGATGAAACCAGAAACTCATTAACTCATTGCCCTCAGTTGACCTGGAAATAAAAACGAGCTCGCAGTTGGCTTTCTATTAATTGGGAAAGTTCAAAGTACACCTGTTGGGGCCAGTCTATAAATGGGAACCCGGAAAGCTCAATGCAACTAGGTCCTCCGGTGGAGAGGTTAGAATCAGTTGGTACCAGCCTTTTTTCTGTCGTCTATTTTAGTAGGGGGTTTCTCCTCCCATCCCCCAAAAAAAAAATCAAACGGGTGAGAAAGGGCCGGCACCGGCCTCGCTGCGGGACCTCTGTCCTCCCCCCACCCGCCCCTTTCAGTCCCCAAGAGCGATAGCTTCAAAGTACACCTTTTGGGGCCACTATAAACATATATATATATATATACACGTTTTTTGAAGAATTGAAAGAAATAAACAAATACAAGTACACACTATAAAAAATGGAAACCCAATCCCAGGAAAGCCAAACTGAGCTGTCCTCAGCCCCCGCTAAAAAGGCCTAACTTTGAGTGGGCTCAATGGAAACCCCACTCACCACAAAGCTAAAAAGCTAAGGAACCGGATGGCTGAATAAGGTTACCCTTTGTTTCTGTAGTCTATTTTAGGGTAACCCTCCCCAAAAAAAGAAGCGGTAAAAGGGCACCTAGCTGGGGTTCCTAGAACGTCCGTGGCTCCGGTGGAGTCGCGTTGAAATGCCGAGGCGCTGCAGGCCCGTCTCCAGGGCCACCTGCACGCTTCCGGAAGAGCCGCTGGCAGTCACCGCCGCCGGGCGCTCCTAAGGAGCGACTTGGGGACCCATCTGCTCGGTTGCGAAATCTGCGAAGCCCTGCTAAAAGTGAACAACTCTCAGTGGTTTTAATTGGAAAACCCACTAGTTGGCAAAAAGCTAAAGTCCTAACATCCAAGCAACATGCAACAAAGTTGGGGTGTCTTATTTTTCGAGGTAACCCGAGTTTTTGGTGGTTGTGTAAAGGAAAACCCATTGGGGTGTATCTGTTGTGGGGGGGACCGTTTTGCTCGGTTGTTTTCTGCTCCCCTGCTAAAAGTGAATAACTTTTAGTGGTTTAATAGGAAAACCCATGATGGCAAAAAGCTGAAGTCCTAACATCCAAGCAATATGCAACAAAGTTTGGGTGTCTTATCTTTCGAGGGAAAATAATTTTGGTGGTTGTTTTTTGAACACCAACAGGACCAACGCCATGTTGGGGCCATGGGTCCCCTATACTTCCCTGAGCTCAGTTGCTCAGTGATCCTGGTAGAGCAACAGAACGGGGCTTGACCATTTTGAGTTGGGAAGCAAGTAGGAAAAAGGTTTTGGTCCCGCTGAAGAACTGGATCAAGGGGAAGTTCCCCGTTGTGAGGGTCTGCCACCCTCGTGAGCTCAAAGATCACCTAGTCCCCTTTAGGGGCGATGTGGCAACGAGGCCTGTTTGGGGGAAACAATCCCAAAGGCATGAGGGGGCCCTCAACAGAAACATTCATGCACGGAAGTTGGTCAAAGCAACTGACTTTTTGTAGGTCGACGAAAGTTGCGATAGAATTTATTGGACCCTAAGGGTCCTGCAAAACCTGAGGGTCTCCATGCCACACCCCTGAGTTGCTTGAGGGGTAGAAAATTGAGGCCCCAAAATCCATCCGTGGCTGCTTTTCTTCTGCTGGCAAGGCTCAGGCCGAATCCGCACCACCACACGTGCCATGGCATGATCGCCGAAAGAACTTCGTGGCCCGCGAAGAGAAAGAAGCGTTGCGGCCCTTCGCTGGCACATCTGAGCTTGCTGAAGGGTACCCCAGGGCCAAAAGGTCTGCTCTTGGACAGTTGCTGGACAAGTCCTGTGTGCGCTGTGCGTCACGCTGTGTTTGGTTTTTTCGGCTAAGTGCTTGGCTGCCTTGTAAGTTTGTAGCTGGGAGTGTGTCTTGATTAGCTTTCCTGTTTGCTTGTTTGTTTGTGCTGCGTTTGGTGCTACGTTGCTCCGGTGCCTTGGTAAGATCGGAATTTGAGCGACATGGGTCCTGTAGATAAGCTGCCCGAGCCCAAACTGCGCACATCTTGTCATTTGACCCCCGAAAGCACAAGGTCGGGTTTCATGCATCTCAACATGGGACCTTATGAACCAAGCTCCAGTGCATAGCTTGGTCATTCTTCAAACCCAAGCCTAGGCTAGGATGTTGTTTCTCCAACATAATTTCGGCCAAGAGCAATATGGAGTTGTGTGCGTTTCCAGGGTATGTTTAAAGACCATTTATGGGGTCTAACGATCACACACCCATATGACAACGTTAACCCAGAAGCTTTGCTGTTCCCACTTGGGCGAGCCATGTAGACATTGCAACATTGTTCGCGGGTTTGTGGGAAACTAATCATTGCCCCAAAAATGAAACCTGGACCTTGAACCCCCCCATACAAATGGATTGTTGCCCCAAAAATGCAAAACAGAAGCTGATTTCCCTTTTTATTCCAGGAAGTCTAAAGATCCACACATTCAAAGGTGTCAAGAAGATTGGATTTGCCAAAAGGTCGACTCGATGCGGGTCACCACTCATCACCACTCACTGTTGTCGGTGGTTTGTGGGGAATGTCTCAAGGGAAGCCCCCCTGGACGGTTTTCATCCCAGGGCTCTGTATCGGAACAGTCAAAACTATAGGTTTAGAGGCAAACCAGAGGGGCTTAATGTTAACCCCAGATTAATAAACCCCTTGTTGAATAATAGGGGGGTGTCCACTTTTGGAGGGAACACCCCGCAAAAATTGGACGGGTTGATTAATCCTGGGTCAACATTAAAGGGAAACCAAAGAGAGACTGCCCATTTCCATGGGGAACCCTCCCCCAAAAAAGGGTAAAAGGGCACTGGGGGACCTAGTTGTGATACAGCCCCATGTCGCTGCAGGGCCTTTTCCCCGGCTGAGGCCCCGCGCTCTTCACCTGCGTCCTCCTGGCCGATTTTTTACGCCTCTTGGTGCCCTCCAGTTCCAGGACTGAGGCGTGTTGCACATGGGACTTTCAACTGGGCTGTCAACAACAGCCAAAGAAAAACAATGAAAAACACAATACACATCCTGCAAACAAAACAAAACCTACTCCTCTTCCTCTTGGCCTGTCTTTGGCAAAAACGAACTTCCTCGGCGGGCGGGCCAGGACGAGTCCATTTTGCTTGTTTGCAACTACCATGTTCTTCCCAAAGGTATCATGACAATGCCCATGTGGCCTCTCGGGGCAGGCGCAAGTCTTGTTTCCAACTAGGGAGGAAACTTCGTTGGCCTCAAGAGAGGTTCCAAGTACCTTCTGTTCCCTCCCCACAACCCATCAAGTAAAACAAAACATCACACGGAGCCCACACATAGTCATATATGTGCAACCACCGTTTTGGTGGTGGAAGTCCCTTCTTTTGGGGAGATTGTTGTGGGACTTCTGTGCATGGTGTATTAATCTCAAGTCCACCAACGTTGATCCCAAATGAATCAACCTGGAAAATGCTCAGGTGTTCCAAGGTGACCCGGATCCCCCCCCCCCGCGCCGCTTCATGCTTTGGAGTTTCCTCCCGTGTAGGGTACTACAAAGGTAAAAGACTAGCATGGGGTTCTATGGGGCTTGATTTGCCAAATTCACTCATAGAGTAGACTAAGTTCCCTGGGTTCCCTAAGTTGCCTAGCTGCCCTGCCCTGAGCGAGGCACGCCTGACCGAGGGAAGCTAGGGAAGCCAGGGAACCTAGGGTCTATTCTCTGGTTCTTACATTGGGTGTCAATGGGGCTTCCACTACCCCGCCCCCCCCCCCGGCCGCTTCAGGTCTCTTCCATGAACACCCATTTCGCCTGGAAGAAGGGATCCCTTGGGGCAGCCGAACCTGAGTGGTCCAGCTCGTAAACATGTCGACATCAAGCAGGCAACCACCTCAGTGGTGGACATGAATCATCTAAATGTCTAAGGGTCCCCTACTAAAAATCATACTCAATGTTTCTAAGTCTCAATGTCTAAGGGTCCCTTAGTAAAAATGATACTCAAATTGATTTTCAGCATCTTGCAGCTTGAAAAGACAACCCGCACAAGTTGAGTGCAACATCTCAACCTCAGGCACCAGAGTGGAACTCTTCATAGGCCTCAAATCCCCCGATCCCCGTGTCCATGTCCATGCCTGTTGGACTTTTTCTTGTAGTCACAAGCACCAAGACCTCAAAAACCCTTGCAGATGGAAAGCGATGGAAACCCAGCAATATGAGCCACAGTCAAAACTCACTGTTTCACCCAATGAGATCAGACTTTGGCGACATGACGGTTGCTCATATCACTGTTAATCTCAGCCCACTCGTAAACAAAGCAGTGAAGATGCCAGCACAAACTACTGGACATAAGGGACTCCGGCCGTTGTTGTATCTCATGGGAATGCCCCCGTGCTGATGTCTACAACAGCACCGGCAAACACAAATGCTGCCGCATATGATGCGCTGATGCGTTGCAAGTGCACGTGTGTCTCGGCTAAAGGGGCCACCAGTTACATGGCGAGTGGTGCGCAACCATGGCAGAAACTTGGCCCATCTGGAGTGGCAAAACATACTTTCACTATTGTTTCACATTTAGTCAACCCTACAAAATATCTTGTTTGGGGGAGACCCCAAACAATCTGCTGAGTGGACTTACAACCATGGCTATCGCTTTGGCGCTACACCTTACCAACCAAGAAAGTCGCTGAAGCATTCATGATTCTTCCTGGCCATGCGCACGCCAACTATGAACGCACCCAAAGAGGTGTCGCTTGACGATTGTGCAACAGGCAATTGCGTGTTGCTTCTCGGTTGAAGCAATCTGACATCCCCGACTCAATGGGACACTTGCAGCACCGCCGGAAGTAGCCTGAGCGTAAGCGACAGGTCTGGGTGTGTTCTGCGCAGACAAACTGCCCCCCAAAAAATGGCTTGTGTGGAGCTTTGTGTTTTTTTGGCTAATGACCCCGACAGCAAACACAGCCGGTCCTGCAGAACAAGCCAGGACTCGATATCGATGCTTCGATCTTGCCTCTTCACTCGATCCAGGCAACACTGGCACCACAACGGCAACAACGGAAAGTTACCCGTGTCCTCCCCGACCGACAAGTATTCTACAGATTCCTTTTATTTGCTGAAGTCTTATATTTGGCTCCAAGGGCAAACCTTATTGAACCAAGGATGTAGCTGCAAAGACCCGACTTTGAAACATGCTCAGCACAATACATTGTACATGGTGCGCGGAGAATCAACCCGAGGCCGTCGGTGGTTGCCGTTGCCAGTGAGCCATGGGTCTGAAATATGTAGAGTAACTGATTTGTTGATCTTCTGGCTCGTTCTCGCGTATTATTCGCACCTCCCACTAGATTCTATGGCCCTGAAAACGAGGAACTCGGCTTTTGTTTTGGTTTAATGTGAAAAGGGTACCCTCAATACGCACCCAATTAGGTGGCCTGTTTGTGACTTTCTAGTCGTAGTAATCCGTTGCTTTTCGGGAACCCTGTAGAAACAACTTAAAACGCACCGCCCTTCCACCACAAGGGACTCTGCATGGGGGAGTGTGGGGTGGGGGAACCTTTCAGGGACGGCTGAGACCTTTCACGGACAGCTCCATCTCCCCAGCTCAGCTTTGCGAAATTGGGCTAAGACAATTAGTGCAAACATCCGCTGATTCATGCGTAGCATGTTGCAACAGCCATAATGAATAAGAGGCAGTGATTTATTCGACAAATAAGTGTACATGGGTCCGGGGCAAACATCGCAGCGCACAAATAATAGTATGTATATATAAAAGTATATATCTGGCATTCTCGGACACATGAGTTACACGAGTATGGTTGGCAAAGACCAAGCTCGTCAGAATTTTGTCCACAAGTACCACCAAGACATAAGAACATCCAATCAATCAGGCCACGTGCACAGCGTGTGAAGACTCAGGCTGGCCCCAGAATCATGCCATATTGACTGAACGATTGAACTGGTCACCATTTCGGGCCTTTGTTGTCCTCGCAAACAAAACAACCCATCCAGTACTACATCTCCATTTGAGAATGTAATTCGTCAACCTGAAGTAAGAAGCCCCCACGGAACCTTCATGAGTTGGTCTTCCCGAATCGGTGAGGTCATCATTTGCACGGATGCTTCCTTGAACAAATGGTTGGCTTCCTGACGGTGTCCCTGAGAAAAACCATCCCATGACGGTGTCCCTGAGAAAAACCATCCCAAAAAAGAGCATGGGTGTCTCTGCTTTTCGGGGAACCCGCAGACTGGCGGTTTTCCATGGGCTTCCATGCGAAACCGCAAACCAGTTGTACCCTGAAAAGAAGACCATATTGCGAGAGGCGGGTTCATTCTCCCTACCCCATATATCCCCATATACCGGTGTTCGGTGCATTTATTGAAAAACCTGGTCTTCCATCATAAATATACCTCCTTTCTTGGAAGAGGGTTGACATGATACTGTACCCCCCAAAAAATGGCGTAGGGGGTACATCGAACAAATGCCGCGCGAGCTTTGAAGGTCTGCCATGGACACCCAGAAGCATCACACAAGGACACCTCGCACGCGGCACCAAAAGGTAGGTGTCAAAATTGGGTGACCCCTCCAGCCAGGACTCAACTTGCCTGCAAAACTCCCATCCAAAATCCCCTTGGTTCTGTCCCAAAAATCCCATGTCCAAAATCCCCTTAGGTTTGTCCCCAAAGAAGTGGTGGGGTGGCAAACGAATGGTTTGCCATTTGGCTTCCCTGCAACCAGCCTGGCAATTGAGTTCTTAGCCGCAAGCTGGCCATATACAAACACGCTGGCTGAACATTGCAGCACCACATTCCACGTTGAACGAGTGGAGCAATGACCCAGGAATCTTGAGCCTGGTGGATACTTCCTTTTCATTGAAGCATCTCCTCTGAAATGAAACAATCCCCCACCGCGCTGGTTTCTAGGGGTCCAAGACATATGCCACCAGCATGCGACACGGATTGGTGCTGCCAGGCCGCGTGTGCCTGCAAAGCAAAGTTGGAACTGCCGAACCTCTGCAGTCTTAGGAATGCCATGTTGGTGTAAACAAAAACTTACCCTCACGAGTGGGTTGATGTGGCTCGAATGCCTTCATGGATCAAATTTTCCAAACTGAACCCAATCCAAAACCACGACCTGTCGAACCCAAGTTTGGAGATGTCAACCTGCTCCTTCGACTGCCACTTCGCCGGCTTTCGCCAAGGCATTTTGCCCCGCGTTCGCGGACCAAAGTTCGTTAGAGCCTCCGAAGGCTTTGGGTTTTGGAAGCCGCGCTCGAAGCCGAGCGAAGTGGGAACAGCCCTGGACCCGGCGAGTCGCCCGCAGAAACCAAACCCTCATGTGGAGACCAAGACTTCCGTCCGCAAAACCTTGTTTACGACAGCCAGTCCAAAAAGTTGGACTACAGGCCACCCAAGGAATGCACGAGCGGCAACTGGATGCATCCACATCAGTCGATTCAGCACTGGTAAGGGACCCGAAGGTGAAAACCGGGGCCTGCCAGAAGTTGAGCTGAAGATGCTCCTCCACCTGCTCCTAACGGAAGAGCCGTGGAACACCCGCGCTGAAAGAAGACGAGAGTCCGGCCTGGAGAAGAAAAAGGGCAAACCTACGGCGCATGCCAACCCAATATTGCAAGGGAACAAGTTGGAAACAAAAAAGTCAACCATGCTTTGTGGCTTGTCTACTTGCAATATTTAAGGCAGCCGTCGTACCTAAATTGGAAACTAGGATCCATCTGGAAATCGATTCCCTTTAAAACCAAACAGGGCAAGCAAAAAACATATTAATATTCATTTCAGCAAATGGAAGTTCAGCCTAAGCTGGAGTACTCAAGTCTAGCCTGGACAAAAACCTGGGTTCCATTTTTAAACCCCAAATTGCACCACACAGAAACAGAGTTGTTAATTCTTTCCCGGAGAAACCACAGATTCCATGGTTATCTTGGTGCACCTAAAGACAGGGCCTGAGTGTAAGCCTAGCCTGTCGTCACCAAATGTTGAACGCCTCGGTCCAAACGGATCCGCGGGCTCCGCGGCTCCGAGTCGTACGACGATGTCCTGAGCCGCTGCGAAGAGGTCATCAAAGTCGCTGGGTTCGCCTGAAGAGAGAGAAACAGAGAGCGAGAGAGCGAGAGAGCGAGAAACCTGGACTTTTTTACATGGGACAACCAACCAAAGGGGTACTAAGGGGAAACGCCCGACCAACATAGGGCTACCGGCCAGAGTGAGAGAGAGAGAGAAACCTGGAAATGAAAGTGGGACCTACCAACCAAGGGGTACTAGTACTAGGCGCTGGTACCAAAGGGGAGCTTTTTAAGTGGGACAACCAACAAAGGGCAGCCAACTTAAAGGGGAGACGAACATCCTATCAACATACCAAGGGGAGACGGGGTACCAACAAAGGGGAGACGAATAATTTTCCTAGCTCCCCCAACAAAAGACGAGCCCATTTCACAGTCTGCCACTTGGTTGCTGCCTGCAAAAAGGGAACCTTGATGTACTAACAAATCAAGTGGGGCAACAGGATTGTCAAATATAAGAAATGGTAGTTGCGTGCAAGCCAACTTGTTGTGTGGCAATTCTTGTTTGTGTCTGTTTGCTTGGTTGCCCGCTGCAATGGAGGGGACCAGTTTTTGGTTTTTAAGTGGAAAAGGGAAACCACGATCTTGGGCCTTCGAACCTGGTGACTTCTTCTGGAACTCGCCCTGGCTCGTAGCTCTGGCACCCCGAAGGCGTCCAAAGACGTGATGGAACCTAGGTCCTCCAGTAGAGAGGTTAGAATAAGGGCACCCTTTTTTCTGTAATCTATTTTAGTAGGGAACCCTCCCAAAAAAAAACGGTAAAAGGGCACTACTGGGGGGACCTAGGAACCGTACAAAGGGAGCTTGGCAGTGGCGGGCTTGCTTCTAGACCGCTGAGAGATGCCGTGAGCTCGCGGGCCGAGGTCTATGAAAGCGTCCAGCAGCTGCGGAGCCACATCCTTTGGACCGCAACCTCCGTTTTCTTAAGTCCCCTGGGAAAAAAATCCAGCGATCCCCTTTAAAACCAATAGGCGAGAAACAAAATCTTACCCAAATGGAAGGCGACGTCTTTCCGATCAGCGGCTTGGCGCCTCAGGGTGCGCCATTCGCTCGGCTGGTGGACAGGTAAGCTCTTGGGTCGTCCGGAAGTTTGGTACGTTGCACAACCCAAGCCGGGGCTTCGATCCTATGCGGTTCTTTTCAGGTTATAATGATAGGAGACTTGGGAAGGGAAATGGTTTGGAGGAAATTGTCTCATACCTTAAGGGACTTACCTGATATGTTTCAGGCTATGGAGGTTTGTGTAAAGGGTATATACTGCCTTGCCACCTTGTATTGGTGGTACCTTTGCGCATCCATCCACAACACACAACTGAACGATAGAGTACTTGCGTCAATCCCCCAGCATTAGCACGCCCAACACGGTGGGCTCCGTTCTGGTCTGTATGCCCCAACTTGTATCTGTTAAATATCAATGTACTATATCGATCAAGGTTTCTTTGAACCCTTCAACCAAGAGAGAGGTTTGGGTTTGAAATCAGCAGGCTGGGGTGGGTATAACAAAGCAGGGTTGCTGATAGACAACATGAAAGACACGGTTACACACATAAACACGGGTGAATTAGCGAGTCCCCTGAATTTTGTGGGGACAATGGATCGCAATTGGCGATAGACTCGACAAGTCGACCGAACCTCATATGGATTCGTCTCGAAATCAGGCAAGCCCCGAAGTGTTTGCGTCTGCGTGGGGAAACCATTTGGCAGTTGGCATGGGACCTGGGGCATCGGAACCCCATCTGTTTTGTCAATGGCTATGAAAGCCCCAACGCAACGGGCGTGTCATTTTTAGGGATCCCCCCCACAAAAAAGGTGGTTCTCCTTGGGTTTTCCTTTAAAACCCCAACAAGGGTACCAACTCCAAACAAAAGAGCCCGCCCCCCGTGATCCCAAACGCACACCGAATCACAGTTGCTGACAGCTTGTAACCCAAGGGTTTCTGGTAAAGGTTGGTTGATTTTATGTTTGCTGAGATCAGGTAAACCCTAGAGGCTGCAGGATGCTCAAGTATTCTATCCTATTCTACCTTGTACCAGGTGATTTTTAGGTGCCTTCAAGGGGTCATGTTGGAGGGACTTTTCTTTGATCCTCCAAAAGCCTCCGCCCAATCAGAAATCAGGGCTCAGGCCAGTGGGAGAGCCCCTGGCGCGTAGGAAGGCTCCAAGCCCAGTGCCCCAAGACAAGCAGATTCCAATCATAGTCAAAACCCCGTATCAAAACGGTCCACCCAAAACCACGCTTCAAGAAATAAGAAGGCGGATATCCGCAACTGCTTGTGGCAACGGGATTGTCCCTTACTAACGTTCATCTACCCGGGTTTTGAGTGTGGTTGACTTTTTGCACAGGCATGAGGAACCCAAGCCTCCTGAGCACCTCCCCCAGCGAGTCCAAAGCTTGGTGCTCGCGTGTTGGCCGTGAAGCCAAAAAATATATCGCAACCGTGAAAAGTCAAGTGACCAAAATTCCGTCAACAGTCGAGTCACAAGCACCCACTATTGTAATGCCTGAAAGATCTACAATTCTATGGCAAGCACTCAAATGCAGGAATATATAGCACAACTCAACCTCGTGTGGAAACAAAAATGAAACGTCGAACTGAACCAAATCCCAAGTACTTGTTTTCTGATTTTCTGGGTGGGAACTGGCCTCTTCAGGTTGGTTTGAAGGAAACCAAAGAACACCAATCATTTTGGGGAGTCGAAGTCCCTCTGTTAAGAAGTTATCTCCGGATCCTCGCACCCCGCTCTCTCGCCTGTCGCGGCCTCGCTTCCTTCGCCTCGAGGGAAAAAGCGCTCGAAGAAAACACGGGAACGCATGCAACCTGTGAAGGCCATTTGTAGCAAACGATACTCAGCTTCCCTCTAGCTGGTTGGGATTGGTTGAGTGGTGGTTAGGGGTGGTTTCCCAGTTTCCCTCCACAACCAGGCGGTTCAAATCCAAATCCACCAAGCACCAACGAAACAACTAAGGGCTATCTGAAATCTGAAGCTTTGGGGGTTTTGCTGAAACTGCCTTCGCATGACCGCCACAAGGCGGTCATATGAGTCATACCTAGGAAATCTAAAAGGCAAAAAATCTGCCTGAGATGGCGAAAGGCGCCTTTTGGCGTCCAGCGGCGATTGCTAGACTTTACAGACATTCTCCGGCGTTTCTTGATTGGCTCCGGCGTTTTTGAACGATCAGCGCTTGCCCCTTTTTGGCTCCATCGCAGCCCTGGCCCGGCGATGGTGGCCTGATTGGCACGCCCTGCCCCTTCCTGCACACGCTTCTTGAACACTGGCAGTCCTTTCTTCAGAACTTGGCTCAAGAAAGAATAGACTCATGGCACTTTCAAATCCAAATGTGAGTGCGATGATGCAACATGCTGGCGGTCGCCTTATCTTCAGTCATCGATTGAATAATTGGACTCTTTTTTGAATGCGCTGCCAAAATCATGCCTCAAGGTCTGGCTGAGCTTCCTGATCAATTTTTCCAGGAGGTACAGGGCGTTCTCTGGCCAAGTGAAAAGCCATCTGATGCTTGCCGGCACAGCCCACACCCTGCGAAATAGCTTTGCCCCAGTGTCCGAAAAGCGGGGTCTATTTGTGAAATCAGGGGTGATTAGAAACCAATCCAGTGCTTGCGCCCGAGAACAGATCGGAGTTGCCCGGCTGAGGAGACGCTGAGCGAAGAGCAAGCGAAAACAATTCTGGCGAACTTTGAGGCCAAGGGCGCTGTTTATGAGCTGGCCAGTTTTCTGAACAAATGGCAGAAAGATAGCCCAATGCTTAGATCGATGCCAAAAGGCTCAGCCACAACACTATGCTAAAGGCCGTTGCTCTCCCTGCCGCTCAACTCCTAGGTCAGCTCCCGGACGACAAGGTCTCACAAGCGCGCGATGAGCCTGCAGGGCACTGATCGACTGGCAGAGTGGCAGTGTTTCAAAAGTACGTCCTCCCAGTGCTTAGAACATTGCATGGGGCAAACCGCCTAGTTTTTTCCAATCGCGAGTGTACCCACGCAGGTGCTTCTCAGAAGCAATGGCGGGCTGTCTTTGGCGCTGGGACGAACGCATGGAAGTCGGGCACTTGGCTTGCTCTGATGGGGAGTTTGGGTTTCTCATTAATTTAGCTTGCTCAGGTGCGATGGTGCTGGCCTGCCCGTTCAGCCTGCCAGGCCAGCGCTTGCCGTCAGCGCGTCAGTTCTGCGTTTTCTTCAGTTTTGGCCCAGGCAATTGGTGGACATTAGCTTCGCTGCTGTCTTGAGGCCTGCCGTTTCTCTGACGGCTGATTGAGGGCCAGCCTTTTGTTGCAGGCTTGGGTGGGTCTGCTCCTCCTTGGCGCTTATCTCAGGTCGGCGCATGTGTTGGCGCGATTGCAAGCTTGCAGGTTGGGCGATTTCTGGCTACAAGTGGTTTGTTGCTCGGTCGCGCGCCTCACGTGCCATGGCCTACAAGCTTCGAGCCCTGTCTGACAGGGATCCGCTGGACGGGTTGGCCGAAAACCTTGAAGCAAGTAGTTCTGTGCGGCGTCTAGTTGTCAAGACTGGCAGCTTGTTGCGCTGGACCAGCCCCGAACTGACAGGGATCATGTCCTTAGACCAACTTGCCCTGAACCTCGATGTCATGGAAGTGATCGTATCCCACTGGTGCTCTTCCTTGAGCAAGCCAAAAACCCTACCAGTGGACAGCATCAAGCGCGAGGCTGGTGTGCCAAGCAATCCCACCCGCAAAACACAAGCTTAAAATCAATGTGCCAATGTCAAGCCGGCCGCGCCTTCTTGCGCAGGTGCGAAAGCTGCGGGTGATCATGAGGCTCTCAACCAAGCCTAGCCTCGTACATTGCGATTCGCACGCTTTGAAGGGGCTACTCAGTTTACTCATTCGGCGCAATGACGGCAGCGTCCGGAAAGATGCTTGTTTAAAACAGGGTAAGTCGAGCTGATTACCTTGTAAAGGACATTGCGACAAAGTGTGTCAGTTTTGCTGCTGAGGACCCCAACTTGCAGGAGCTGTCCAACAAGCTTGCCAGCTTCTGGCCGCCCAAGAATCAAAAGGATTCTGAGGAGGATTTGGGATCAGCCCTTGAGCCCCCTGAGGATCACACCACAGAAGAAACAGCTCTTGATGATGGCTATGACGAGGGTGTAGTTACTCCCGAAGCTGCAAAACCTGACGAGGAACTGGCTTGGACCTTGGGGGGGCAGCTCAAGAAAACCGAATGCCTTGGCTCGCCTTTCGCTATGCCCCCGCACGCAGCCGAGAAGCAAGAGCCGGAGGAACCTGACATTGATGCCCAAATTCGGGAACTGGAGCAGCTCCCCAGCAACTAATTTTCACCCTACAAAGGACAAACCATTGAGTTTTGTTTTGAGGGGCTCCTTTCTTCCAACCCGCTGGCAAGGCAAGCCATGGCAGAAAAGCGATTGGCGTTTGCCGCTCGGGCGGTGCCAGTTTCCTGGAAAAGCCGGCGCCTAAATCGATCCTCTCGCTTGACCTAGCTACGCAAACTTCCCATACCAAGGCTCAACACAGGATGACTCGAATGCTGAAACCCTGCCCTTTGACGCGACCGAAGTTGCAAGCTTCACTACAGGCCGGCGTCAGAGCGCTATACCGTTTGCTCGTTGACCATTCCTGACTTTCTGAACGAATTCGTTGGATTCGTTTCCACATGTTTCCTGCCATTGGTCCCAAAACCGCTCCCGACCCTTGGCGCGGTCACCTGTAGTTTCGCCAGGATCCACGAACCCTGTGGACAAGAACGGCAGCTTCAATGGGTTTGCAGAAGATCGCCCAACGCCCGCTGCCCAGGCAGAAACCCGCAAGCCTGCAGAGCCGGCGGCTCCCCTGAAGCCTGTCGACGGGGTGATGTGTAGCCCTACCACTTCCAAGTTGATGAAGGATGAAGTTGTGGAGGCATTGGTTGGGTTCAAGTGTCTTGAATAATGGGGATAGCAGGGTTCACGTGAAACTAACCCTGGGGAGGCCTACGCGGACCGAGAGGAGCAGATGAAGTTTAAGAATTCCCTCAAGCGCAAAAAGCAAAAAGACACCGATGATGAGTGCGAGGACAACGAACATGGGAAGGATGTTGACCGCGAAATGCTCAAGCCGGCAAAGGGGAGAAAACCCAAAGCCAAGTCTCAGCCCAAATCAAGCAGCCAACGCAAGCCGGCAGCCAAAGCAAAGGCAAAAGGAAAGGGGAGTGCGAAAGCCATGAAGAAACCAGCCGCGGCCAAAGCAGCGAATCCGGAGCCAACAACCCCATCCCCGCAGGCTAAAAGGCAGGAGCCTGAGACAACGCCAGCCAATCCTACCAGGAACACATTTGCCAGGCGATACCAGCCCAAGAACCGCGACAGTGCACGCTGGTGGCTCGCTGTGGCAAGTGCGTTTGACGCTTTGGTCAAGGGCAAGGTTCAATCTCCGAGCTTGATGGAGGACTGGCTTACGCCGCACCGTTGACCGTACCTTCCACCGGGCAGTGACCACTGACACCTCACTAGTTTTCCCAAAAAATCCTATGTCCCAGGTAGCCTGGTAGCCATCCCACTGTTGACTGCAGCTGCTGGTTTCCTAACATTTGGAACAGGCCAGTATGTCGGGTACCGCTGCTTCTGCCCAGGACCAATTCTGGAGGTTCTGCTCGCAACGGCGGGGTCAGATTGAGGGCAGCGATGAATCAAAGGCAATGGAGTCTGCAAAGCTGTTTTTGGCAGGTTTGCCCTCCGTCCTCCCAGCCAAACTCATCGCTCCCGCCTAGGCAAGTTGCTGAGTCACTGAGCGCCGCTGAGCAGCTCGTAGCGCAAGCAGAAGCCTGCCAGAGCTGTGGGCCGGGTGTGACTGGTACTGACACACTTCAAGGCTGTGTCGCGATGTTGCTTTCGTGCCATGGGTTGCGGGGCTTCTCCAACAGATTTTTTTTTTATTCTAAAGTGCGATGGCAAGTTTCCAGTTTGACGCTTGTCCAGCAAACCAAACTCATCGGCGGCCCCTTTTGTTGGCACCCTCACTGATTGTCAGTTCGATGCTGCTTCTTGTAGCAAGTCCAGCAAGTGGAGCGGCTGCAACCCATGCTCGATTCGTGGCTTGCATTAGAACCTGCCCGGAAGGATTTCCAAGGGCTGGCACATGCACCATGTGGGGGAAAATTGCCGGACATGAGGGAACGATTGCAACTTGCGCACCTCCTCCACCCTCCTAGACCCCTATCCCCGCCTCGTTCGCCCAAAGGTGATGATTGTGTCCTGCGATGCCTCGCACTCTCAGCGCGTTCGCTCTGCGTGGGCACGGGTCAGGTGGGTCCGTCCTGTTTGGCGGTACCGTGCACTGTTGCGCAAGCCGATGCAACACGCAAAATGCAGGCGTTTTCAGTTTCAGAGTTAGCTGAGTTGGTCCTTTTCCAGCCGCCTTCTTTGCAATGACGCCTAAGCAAAAGGAGCTCACCATACGCCGTCTAATTAGATTGGGCGCGCCCAAGGCCTGGGTTGAGCGCCTCAAACTGTTGCTGTGCCTTGCCAAAGCCTGCCAGCTCCCCTGAAGGTGTTTGTGATGTTGGTGTGCCTCATATCTTGGCTCTCCATTGACGTCCAAGGGCCGCCAGCAGAAGTGCTTGAGTTGTTTGCTGGCTGTGCCAGACTCACTCGTTTGTCTAGGTCTGTCGGCATTCCCTCGCAAGCCCATGACATCCTGTTTGACGTTGACGGGCCCCGCAAGAATGGGAAGAGCTGCATGGATGTCAACCTTTCGGCTGGGTATGTGTGGCTTGGACTTCTTGTGTGTGTGTGAGTAGTTTT